CAGCTTATTGTATTCAATTATTATGACTTATAAACTAATTCTTAAAGTATATCAAACTTAATCCTATTTTAAGTTTGTTTGTTTAATTTCATTTTTCAACTTAGTTCAGATTATCATTTTTATTTGTTCTTGACGGCAAGGGAGAATATAAAAATGTTATATGATTGGGCGTAAAACAAACAATAAACTTATATTTTCGTTGCAAATTTGTAGGATTTATGAACACTCCTACCTAATTTGTGTGAAATATTCTATTAGTTAGACACGCAAGAAAGTTAAAAAAAATATTTTCATTTTAAAAATTACATCTATTTAAATGTTTTAAACGCCTACTATTTCGTCTTTTTAACTTTATAAAGTGATGCCAAATACAATAAATAATTAAACATAAAAAGAAAAGAATAAAAAAAGTGCAAACTATCACATAAAGTATGTCATGAGACATAAAGTATGTCATGAGTATCGTTATCATGTTTCACAGCTTAACTTTAAATCATTTGAATTACGTTTCCTAGTTTCATCTACTAAATTTAAGTTTTGCTATAAATTGTGGTATAACGGTTTTGAATATAAAACTTTACTTCAAACCTGAGATTATACCTATTATAATTACTATTAAAATTACGATTTTTTTAATTATTTATACTTCTGTCACATAAAATTACTGTGTCAGCTAATGTTATATATAGAAATTAGAAATATATCACTCGATTTTACCTATTTTATATATTGAATTAAGAAATCTAAAAAAAATTTTGTGTATGTTCAGACTTTTGACTAGATAATTAGAACGAAAATGTAAACTTAAATTCTACTTTTATCGGTTTTCCTTTTTCGGGTACCTATTCTTCGCATTTTACATTTAATTTTGACTGTAAAATTTGACTATCTACAGCAATTCCAGGGAGGGTGGCTAGGGTGGATAATAATATCCTTTGCCATCATGACGTTTCGCTTCCTAGATATTATCTTTGTCCTATGTCTTCTTCTCGATGTATGCTCTTTCCATGGCATTGTATTATCTGTTTCAGGTTTATATTCTAAAACCTTTCGCTTTCTTGTAAATGGTAGTTCTTCATTTATGTTTTCTGACTCAATTATCGATTGAGGTTCAGGAAACTGTCTTTTTCTTCTTCTTCCAGGAATATTGTCAGAGGAAATAAATCTATTTTTTGCCTTATCTCTACTTAATATAGGCAAACTTGAGGAATTGCATTCTACTTCTAAGAGCTCATTCTGAATATTTTCTATTTTCGTACATTCTATTTTGCTAGGGAGGGTATTATCCCCATCCTCTACCTGCAAATATTCTCCAGCAACAGGGAGGGTATTATAGTCTTCCTCTGCCTGTGCATATTTCAACGCTACAGGGAGGGTATTATCATCTTCCTCTGCCTGCGCATTTTCTAAAGTGAGGAAATCCAACGTTTCCTCTTTATAGTCATTTACAAAATCATCCTCTTTTTTAAAAATATCCTCTTTTGACATCATTAAAATATTTTCCTCCTGGTTACTATACATTTCGTATGGGAGAGTATCCTGATTATCACAACATATATTATTTGACGACCTAGTTGATTGTGAAAAATTACTGTACTTAGATTGACCTGCATTGTTTATTCTATCTGAACCATAATTATTATTATTATTATTTATAAAACTAGTTCTGCCCTTTAAGTTCGAATCTAAATGATTAGTAAAATATTCGTATTGAAAATCATAGCGCCTCTGACTGATATTTGAATTTACTTGCTGTGATTGTCTTTTATTTATGTTAGAATTTTGAGAATGATAAGAATTTCTGGAATATGCTGATGTTTTGGATTCTAATAATATATCTTTTAAATCGCTTATTTTATAGATTATATTTTTCAAACTCTGGAAATTCATATTTTCAGTAAGCAGAAGATAATAATGATAATTATACGATTCATGTAAACCATATTCGAATTGAGCTTTAAAAATTTCAAAATTTACTTTACCATATATTTCATATGCAATTGATAGTAAATCGTAATAATAAGATTTTATAGCTTCATTTTTTCCCTGTTTCCGTGTACGGAATTTAGATTTTAGTTTACGTAGTGATATTTCACTTCCAAACTCTAAAATAAAATCTTTTTGATATCGCTCCAGACTTTATTAAAATTATTTTGTCATTAACATATTCCTTATACCAATAAAAAGCAGCGTTTTCTAAGTAACATTCTAAATATTTTATCTTAAAAGCATAATTCCAGCCATTCTTATTAGTTATTTTATCATATTCTCGAATAAAAGAAATTGGGCAGTCGATTGTAGGGTCAAAAGTAGGTGGCGGTATAAATTCCGGTAGAACAGGTGCTTTTACAAAAGACATTAAAATATATTTAAAAAAAATCAATTTAAATAATAATAAAATAAATAAATTCTAAACTATCATTAAAATAATTATCGCTCAGTATATCATGTAATGAAATACATTTTTCAACACACACAGACGTACAATGCAGTTCTAACCAAGTCAGCAGTATTTGTAACACGAATTAAATAAATATGGTCGCTTCCTTCAACACTCATATTTCAAAATATTCCTAACAAGAATAATATTTTCTAGGTCAGTGTCATCCTTGATAATGATATTCAACCAACAGGTTAAATTCTACAGTTTAAATAACTGAAATAATAAAATTCTCATTTAAAAATTATATTTATCATTATATATTTATTATGGCAACACTAAAAATAATTTAAAATATACTGTCTATCAATATACTGGATGTCGTTTTATGTGTCCTTATAGAATAAAAATAAATAAATTATTCTCAATAATAAAAATTCTCAACATTCACAAAAATTATTACCATATGCAGTGATTATTACCATATGCAGTAAAGAAAAATTAAACAATAAGGATTCGACAGTATTTTTTGTCAAAGTGGTGTAAAAAAAATACTGGACGTTTAATGAAAAAATATATTGGATATTTGTTAAAATCTCCAATTATTATTTTCTCGCCTCCACCACATACGGAGGTGTATAAAAAGTTGTTATTAAAAAGCATAGTTTTATTTTAATAGTTTTATAGAAAAATTACATATTATCGCCGGGTTCGGCGCCTCCATCATATATGGAGATGTGTAAGAAATTGTTACTTAATAAAAACCGGCGCCTCCACCACATATGTCACACCCCATTTTGTGGGTTATGACTAGGGGCATAGCAAATAATAAATACTTCAATTTAACTTAATAATCAATTTAATTAATCTACGAATAATAAAATAATTATAAAACTAAATGTGTACTTACATATTATATTTATGGACGAACATCATCACTGGCTCGGGGGTAGTGTCAGGGTAGTGTAACGCCAATGCCGGAATCTCGACCGCGACCTTATCGAACTTACTATCGACTATCGACTGTCGACTGTCCCCCCAACAGGTGACATTTTTGTATTTATTTGTTCGTTACGTCGAATCATCGAATCAGCATTATTGGTCTATCGGTGCGATGACCGGTGCGATGACCGCGTTAGTGCTGATTTGATGATTTTATAAATTCGTAGTATTGAAAGGAAATATTTTCGCAATTGCCAATTATGCTTATAACTTTGATTTTTAAAACTTTACTTTTGTTGCGTAAATGCCAATGAACTTTAATTATTTTATACTTCCTTTCAATCGAATTATTAATTTACGAAATATATTAATATTAAATATGTTATTTTATATATCGAATAATTCCATCCTTGACAATATTATTAAATATGTTTTGATAGTTTCAAAGATATTAATAAATAAGTAAAAAAAAATTCAGCCTTTTTAAAAAAAAATAACAAAAATACAAGAAATATCCTGAAATCAAAACTAAATTAGGTAGGTATTTATATACTGTAGTGGGTCTGTACTTCCTTTGCTACAAATATCGTAACATTTAACCATACAGGGTGTTCAAAATTGTATGCTAAACTTTCTGAAATATAAAATAATTTTTCTCCGTTTCTTTTTAAATGGAACATCCTGTATATTATTTTTCTATTAGATGGAGAATTAAAAAATGAAAATTTTTTGCATTTAAAGTATTTTAAAATTTTCAGGGGTTTTGCAAATATTCGTGGTATCATATTACATATGGGGTTTTCATTGTCATTAATTGAGATTGGTATTATTCATTTATTTTGAAGAATTTTATCACTTAAAACTTCTTCCCGGGAGCGGGTAACTACCCCCATTACCCTTCCCGTATATGCGCCCCTGTTTTACCTAATAATCGACCGTTTCCATACATAAAAGCGACCCTGTATATTTATTTTTTAAAGATAAGATAAGCACTCTTTAGCAGTTCATAGAATAAAACTAGGCAAGAAGAGACACGAGTGTCTCTAATAAGATTATCGCAAAAGGTCCTCTTTTTATGTTCATCTATGGAAGTAGTGCTTTCAGAATCAATTCCCATTTTGTTTGAATCATGAAATTAAGTTTATGAATTTGAATTTTTTTACGTCAACCGTTCGTCAATTGTTTTTCTTCTTTTTGATATGTATTGGTCTCCTTCTTCTTCTTCTTCTTGTTTCACGATGATATATGTATTGGTGTTAACGTTAACAGAATGATTCTTGGTCGGCCTTGTGGTCGAAATGATTGCGCGGCTTTCTAGTAGACGCAAGGTTGCCGGCACAGGTCGCCGGTTCGATTCCGGCCTCGGACATGGGTGTTAAATGTGTGTGTGAGTCTGTATTTGTCCGATTTTAAACGCTAATTAAAAATTAAGAATTAAGCTGGCTGAATGTCGTAATAGACAAGTGGCCAAAAATAGGAAAAAAAAAAGAATGATTCTTCTTCACTAGTTTTAATGTATTAGGTGCTCAGAGTAACTTTAATAAAATAGATACCCATAACAGCTTATACAAAAAAAATAGTCAAGACGAAGCAATATGAAAACGCCAATACATGTCAAAAAGAAGAAGAACAGCTGATTAACGATTAACGTCAAAGTCAAAAACATGTCAAAAAAGTCAAAGTCAAAAATTTAAACAAAATGGAAATGGATTCTGAAAGTACTGCTACTTCTATAGATGAAAATACGGAAAACTTTTGTGATAATCCTACGAGAGATACTATAGCCGAAGGGCTTATGGGCCTGATAAAACCCACTGTAGATCAGTTGGACGAACGTGTCAGAGCTACGAGGTAATTTACATTTTTTGTAAATTTTTGAAAATTATTTATAGATGTTTGTTAAAGGCTTTCTCAATTAGAACTGAAACAGTGTATCGAATCTTTGAGCGAAGAACTAAAGAAAATATCGGAAGCGCAAAAACATTCCATCGACCTAGAAATCTATCTTAAGAAATTGATTAATGCTAAACAAAGAGTTACAGTTTTGTCAAATATTTTACAGGTGAGCGAAATAATTTAATGTCTGTAATTTCCTAATTTAAAAACCTTGTAGACTGCACAGGAGAGGCTAAACAAGGTACATATGTCCATTGATAAAGAAATAGTGAAGAGAAAGATACTTGTAAACAATACTGTAGAGGATCCTGAAAGTGTGCAACAATAAGTTTTTCTATTGTCTGTGAAGGGAATTGTAAACATGACATCACTGCAAACCCCTTTATACAATTTAAGTGAATTTCCACTCGTTTATGAGCCTGCTGAAGACACACACCTGTTTCTAGATGCTTTAGAAAAAGATATGGACAATCTTCTTCAGATTAAGCCTGTAACGATATGTGAAATAGGATGTGGTAGTGGTATTCTCATTACAGCACTGGCTTCAATTTTTAAAAACACCTGTTGTTATTTTTGCACTGATATCAATCCACAAGCATGTCTAGCTACTAAAAACACTGCTTTACTCAATAAAGCTGACATAGAGTGTGTACAAATGGACTTAACTTCATGCCTGAAAGCTCAGTGGAGATTTGATGTTATAATTTTTAATCCACCATATGTAGTAACTGAAGAAAATGAAATTAAGGGTAATGGTTTAAATCGTGCCTTTGCTGGTGGAAAAAAAGGCAGAATAATAACAGATAAATTTTTAAAAAGCTTAGTAAATATTCTGAGTGATAATGGAGTGTGTTATGTGTTGTTCTTGAAAGATAACATCTTAGTTGAAGTTGAGAAAATAATGCAACAAAATGGGTTCTGCAGTACAGTTATAATGGAAAGAAAAATACCAGGAGAACATTTATATATTTGTAAATTTAATAAGAAACATTAAAATAGTTTATAAAATATAATGTATATTATTCTATAACAATTTGAACTGTGTCTGGTTAAAAGACTGGGTATTTTGACACAGACAGAAATATCTGTGATGAATAATTAAAGTGTTCTCAGAAAAGTTCGATTTCAAATAAATGTTTCTTCTGAAGATGATATTAAGTTTGGTTAGGTGAATTTGTTTACAAATAGAAGAGCACTGAGATGCTGGTTTCTATTTAGACACCACCCCAGTAGCATTTACAAAAAATACCTATTATATTTCCTAGAACTGTATCAGTCAAAAAATCCAGCACTTTTCCCAACAATAAACCGACCATAAAGACACTGAAAAAAAGCATCAAATTACCTTGGAATGATTGATGGCATCCACTCTACAAAATGTAATCAATCATCATTGAATGATTGACATACATTTGTATGGTAACTCAACGCTTTTTTTTTGATCATATGTTATAGACATTTATAATAATTTTATTTGTCACCAGTATCAAGCTTTGTTCTTAAAAAAAATGAACTTTGTTACTTTCACTGCACTATGCCAATTAGTGGGGTTTTTAAACTCTTCTAATATATCATTGTCAGCTTCCACTTTAAACGACTCAGTCTTAGCATCTTTCCATCTACCTAATTGTTCAACCTCAAAACTGTGACCAGGAAATTTCAAGTCTAAATAAGATTTTATCTCAAAATCCGTGGTCCCTATAAGAATAGACTGGTTTAATACACACAAAGTTTAGAAAACAATTTGAAATAGTACCTGATTTCATGTTTCCTAAATACATCCATGTTTTCCCTGGCCTATTCAGATCTGCACAATTCTGCTTTTCTTTTTTCTTTTCTACGTCCCCACTGTTTTTCTGATTTTGTGGTTTCTTCTTGTTAACTTTTGCTTTCTTATCGGGGTCTTGAGGCACATTAGAAGGTTTTTGAGGCTTTTCCTTTTTAACATTAAGATTAGTTGAAGTAACTTGTATAGTTTGGGCTGGGCTTATTATCTCAGTCTGAACAACAGTCTTCACTTGTTTTACTGTTTTTATAACTTTTGTGCCTTCAGTATGAGTTTTTTCTTTTGTTTGTGCAGTCTGTGGTGGGTTTGTTTTATTTTTCTTTGCTGGTCCATTTTTATTACTGTTTTGCTGCGGGTTATTGCTAATTTTTAGGTTTGCCGTTTTCTTTGTTACCTGTGCAACAGGATTATTCTGGTTTTCCTTAGAAGTTGAAGCCTTTTGTGGATTTGGTTTAGGCGTGTTTGGTTTTGCGTTTGCTTTTCCAGTACTTTTGGAAGTATTCTGTTTATTGCTCCCTTTTGCATTTGCAGGTGGAGTACTCTTGGAAGCCTGGTTACTAGAAGAACTACCTTGAGTACCTTGATCTTGCAAAGCTTCTTGTAAATATTCCTTTACGGCATCTTTAATCATAGATTGCAACATTTTCCTGAAATAGATTGGGCTCCTTTCAAAACTACTTGAAAAAAAAATGAAAAAACTTGCAGTCACAGCTTGCAGTTTTGCACTAATTATATCAATCCACAAACATGATACAAAGAATACAAGGTATGATATTGCGCAGGTTGGTTACTACGTCACAGGTGATAAACGGCACCATTGGTCGGCAAGCTCCGCGCGCCAATTTCAAATTGTCAAACAGATGACACAATAAACGCAAAAATAATTTTTCAAATGTCAAGCTCGATAATTTGACATAACTTTTGGGGTTATGTCCTGATTCTTCCCTATTTTAGGTCTTTTTTTATTAGTGGCAATTGAACAATATGGATATTTTTCTGTATGGCGTATGACGTCACAGGTGGTATGCGCAAACTTAACGAAATTGGAGCAGCTATCGATCATACCTTGTTTTCTTTGTACCATGATCCACAAATATCAATCACTCCACAGAATCACTCACAATGTTCCCTGTTCCCATAGATGAATTTATCTTATCATTTTATCATTTATCATAGGAATTTATTTTGTGGACTTTGGCAAGACTTTGGTGGTCTTGGTAATTCCCCGTTCCCAACTTCCCACTTCAGTGTTGCCAATCGTTTAGCGCTTTATGGCTTTATCCCACTTCGACGTGTTCAAAATTCCGCTACATCACACCAGCTGAGTTTACTATGGTCGCGTTCATCAGGACTATGGGCAGCGACCACTAATTTTCTGCTGAACGCGCCGATTAGTTGTGAGCGCTCTGGGCTCAGTCGCCATTTTTTCCATCAGCACATACGCCAAATGTCACAAAATGCTGTGGAAAACGAAAACAAACCATTTTGTTTATTGTTCTCAGTTGACTAATCCCCTCGATTTGTGCCAAAAATGGGTGAAAACAATTTAACATGCATTACTTATGATTTTGATAATCAAATTTATGAGGTGTCGGGGAATGGAACAAGGGGTGCAACTTTGTTCAGGTTTCAAAGCGATAGCAAAGTAATTTGTAGCTTGATGCACTATGTTCAGTAGCAACATCGATTTGTAGCGATATTCTGATTTCTAGCTTTGTGGCGAGACGACAGTCTAGACACGTGTGCAAGAGTGTGATAGTGATACCATATTTCGCAGCATTTGAGCGACACTAGTTTTGCAATGAACATAGTATCGATCTGGTTTCGACATCGCTTCTAAACGATCGGTTGCTAACTTGAACAAAGTCGCACCCAAGGAAAGAGAGTTACTCGTCTAAGGCATAGGTCTAAGGGATGCTAAAAAGCGCGTTCAGCAGGACAACCAATCGATGGCACATCGCCCTCTGATCAACTTGTCCTGATGAACGCGACCTACCAAACCAAACCAAATCAAACCGATATACAGAAAAAGAAACTACCCATCAAATATTGGGCTTAAATTCCGCTATAACGCCTATACAAGGGTTAAAAATTCGTTACTGTAGCGGATTTTTAAAGGAATTATTTTCTTTAAAAATTCTTTTCTTTCATTCAGAGATATGGAGAAATTTTCTCTATATCTCTGCCTCAATCTCCTTTTTTTCTTCTATTTCGATTTTACTGGCCTAAACTGCTAAGGTTTATTCGCCTCTGCATACAATACGGAGAACAACAAGCTAATTTTCTATTCAGCTTCTAATATAACTCTTATATTCTCTCGTCTTGTCAATAAATTAAAGTTGAGTGGAAGTCTTAATGGCCGGAAGAGATCGGATGAATTCTGAGTTAGATACTCGCTAAGTCGGTGGGCCATTATATGGCTGAGAACCGGGGTTCGCATATTACGTAAACAAAGCCTCGTTCAGATTTGGCCTAGCAGCAAAAAGGAGACGTTAACTCAAATTGGGGTATGGAAGTTATGGGACTCAGACAGATTCGCTTGTAGGAAAACTCCGATTGACTTCTTCAAAGCTCCCAACTCCCAACAAAATGTTGAATATCTCTACCAACACACCAGGATAATCAGATAATACAAGCAGAGTGTTCTTCTCTGATACAAGTAGCTTAGGCCGTAAAATACTACTATACATTTAAGAAGAGAATCATTGCTAAGTTCATATTACAAAAGAAAAACAAAAGATTTGACAGTTAACATCCAAATATTGCTGTCGCTGTCATTCCAGTTTATTTTTGGAGTGTGAGAACATCTTATCTAATAAGTGGTTTTCGGTTTATAATTTCCATTACCTCGCATATTTTTTGTTTAAGTAGATTTTACAAAGTGTAAAATGTGCAACTCGTTATTATGCATTTTGCTCAACCCCGCAGATTATTATAACAGTGCTAAACCTTTTCAAAAACAGTGTAATTTGAGAACTATGTATCGTCAGTGATATCTTATCTGTTAAGTGTTATCAGTACCTGCAAAGCAAAACAAATAGGTTTAAAATACGTCTCATGGCAGCAGCATCACTGAAACGCAGTCGATCAAGGCGCCGTATAGCAGCGGTAACATTTTTATCCAATATATCTTTAGACGGGAGCTACAAGGACACCAAATTAGCGCGCTTGCCAAGAAACGGAGCTATAAACAAGAATATATATAACCCTTATAATGACTACATTATTGAAGAATCCGATGGAAACGATGAATGCTTCAGTGAAACAGAGAATGTATCGGTGGACAACAAAGAAAACAAGAGGAAAATAGCTAAAACCGCTAATGATGACAATTCTGCAAACTCAGATTCGGATAGTTTTATTACACCACTAAAAGTACATTTAGATGAGAATGTTCTGAGAGTTAAAAGTGAGGAGGTATCTAAAGAGAGGTAGGTTACTAAAATATACCAGGTCTAATAACTTATTCCATACATATTTATAATTTAGGTAATATATATAAAATATTCTAGACAAAATAGAGCTAGAAAAACTTGATTTTAGGTTTCTGGTTTGTAATTTTCACTGTAATCTTTTTTATATAATTTGTATGCAACAGCTGCCCAAATTTTAAGAATTTCAATCAAACATATTTTCAAACTAAAGCTTTATATTGTTTAATATTATATTTTTTAGTACAGTAGATTTGCCATAAAATTCCCATTCCAAAAAAACATAGTCACATTTTATATTGAGTGGTTTTTGAAATTGACTGTTGTTTAGATTAAATTTTTTGCACATTTAAAGATGAGAAATATAAGCTTTATTCATAATTTAGGTTGTCTAGCAGTAGTGACTCGGATCGTAAGCTGATTTCTAAACTAAAAAAGAAGGCCCCATATCAACCTTCCATTAGCAATGAGCTAGAAAAACAAACCTACGCTAGTAGCGTAGAGAGTTTAGAGCCCATAAAGCTGCGTAACACTCCTTCACCGGCACTGCTACAAGAACCGCGACAGAAGGTTCAGATAGTCAAACCTCGAGACGGTATGAAGTTTGGAGATGAAAGAATTTTTATGGTAACAGCCAAACACATACCATTTCTGGTTTGTTCATTTATACCTTATACAAAAACAAGGTAAATATTATACCTAGTTTAATATAATTTATCAGTTTTTGTTTGACAAAATCTATATCATAATTGCACAGTCTTGTTTATTATAATTATTAGGATATTGTTAATAATGTAAATATATAATTATCTCTTAGCCTTACGTAAATGTTATTTACAATAATTATTATCAAGATAAAACAGCATTAATTGTATAATATTTAGTAGTTTACAGAAAAGCATATAAATTGTTATTAATAATAGATTTATTTACAATGTCATTTATCATGTTAGTAAAACTAATTGTTGTTGATTTAGTTTTATTGAAAATATACATATTTTTAATAGGTCAGGTCAAAAACGCGAAGAAAAGCGTAAAAGGACAACCTCTGGAACTAGACCACTGTCTTCGGTTGGAGATGCACTGGATCCATTTGATTATCTTGGTATAGAAAGAGCATCTGATGGCCAGGTTTATAATTTTTATTTTTAACCTACTAAAAGCTAATAAATAATTGACTAATTAATTTGTTAACTATGAAAATTTAATTTTCAATTAATAAAAAATTCCCACCATGTATAAATAAAAATTCTCTTGTATTTACAATATTTCTTTTATGAATTTTATGATCAAAAATTAAAAAAAACGGCGTCGGAATTGCCTTGGAAATGAAAATCTATTCTTGTACATTTTATTATGTAAAATTATACGAGCCCTAACAACTAAATGTTCGGACAAACAAAAGTTTATTGATAACCTTTATTTTCATAAACTGAATTATTAAATTTAAGAACGATATTAAAAATATATTAAAATGTAACATTTTTAATAAGTATTTAAATATATAGTTTAGTTTCTATAAACCTCAAAATAAACTGTAGGCGAATAAATAAACAAAAACATTGCATAATAAAGTGACAACTAAATGTTCGGACACTTTAATAAATAACTGTTTTAATATGGCATTACATCGGAATGAGCTTTTACAACCACTGCAAGCCTGTCTGGCATTATTTTCTATTAAGGATTGACATACGCCAGGGTAAAAATTTTGCTATAATTCACTTAATATCATCGTCAAATGGGCAACGGTTCGTCGGAGATCGTCACACAATTTTTGTTACGTTTTATGCAATGATGTCTCGATAACATTAAGGTCAAGATTGTGCCAAGGTTATGAGAGGACCTTGATGTTATTGTCTCTAAACCATTTTTTAGTAGTTTAGTAGTCCCTAAACCATTTCTTAGTAGTTTGGCATGCACCGCCATCCTGTTAAAATATAAAATTCATGTCCTGGTAAAGGTCTCTCGCACTTGGCACAAGAGTGTTTTTCAAAATTTCTTGATATTTTAACGCGTTAATTGTGCCTTCTACCACCTCATACCTTGCTAGACCCATTGTGGACATACACTCTAAAAGCATAATGCTGTTAGGAAATTCCACGGTCCTTTTGAGGCAATCTTTCATGAGACTCATGCATGCGTGCAATGTAATCCTTTCACTTGCAGTTTGCAATTGGAATTATTAGCGTCTGATTGGAACTTCTGATTTCACGAACTACAAAAATGACGTTAAGGTGCAATATTTAGTTATCTCCCAATCCAATGCTGATAATTCCAATCGCAAATTGTAATTACGGATTGTATGCTATTGATGTGCACGGATTACATGTGCATATGAGCCAACTTAAAATCGATATAATAAATATAATCGAACACCGCTAGAGTGTTTTTTGATAAAGATTGCTTCAAAAGGACAGTGAAATCTCCTAAAGGCATTATAATTTGAGGGTGTATGTCCACAATGGGTCCAGGAAAGTGTGAAGTGGTAGAAGGCACAATTAATGCGTCAAAATATCAAGAAATTTAAAAAACTAATATTGTGCCAAGTGCTAGGGACCTTTATCAGGACATGCATTTTATACCTTAACAGGATGGCGGTGCATGCCATATGGCTAAAACTACTAAAAAATGGTTTAGGGGCAATAACATCAAGGTCCTCTCATGGCCTTCGCACAGTCCGGACCTTAATCTTATCGAGACATCGTGGCATAAAACGAAACAAAAATTGCATGAGGATCTTCAACGAACCGTTGCCCATTTGACGATGATATTAAGTGAATTATGGCAAAATTTTTACCCTGGCGTATGTCAATCATTAATAAAAAAACAATGCCAGAACGGCTTGCCATGGTTGTAAAAGCGCATACCTATAAAACGCCATAATAAAACAGTAATTAATTAAAATGTCTGAACATTTAGTTGTCACTTTATTATGCAATATTTTTGTTTATTTATTCACCTACAGTTTATTTTAATGTTTATAGAGACTAAACTATTTAAATACTCATTAGAAATGTTACATTTTAATATATTTTTAATGTAGTTCTTAAATTTAATAATTCAGTTTATGAAAATAAAGGTTTTCAATAAATTTTTGTTTGTCCGAACGTTTAGTTGTTAGGGCTCGTATAAGAAGCATTATCTATCGCGTAATTTTCTAGCCAATTTGACGCCGTTTTTATCATACGGTAGTGGTCCTTATCCTAAAGTATTTCAAACGAGTGAGGGAAGATTTTGACTACAAAAAATTGTGTGTGCACTATTTGCGCATATTTGAAGTGAAACTTCTTCTTACTTTCTTCTGTCTGTCTGAGGACTCCATTCGGGTACTTCTATCCACTTGCCGAGTTTGGTTCCAATCGACTTAAAATTAAGAAAAATCCTGATGATTTCGTCCATTTAGAGGCATCAGTTCGAAACGTCGAGGGCGTCATCCTGTGGCCCGTTCAATATCAAATTCTTAGTCGCAATCTAAAGGCAGGCGGCCACTGCGAGCGAAACTAAACTAAGCCAAGAAAATAAAAAGAAACGGTAACTAAACGAAAATAAGTTTCATCGGCCACTGGGAACGATTTTTCCTTAGTAGTCAGCTAAGTTAGCTGCGTTTTCGTATTGTATCTCTGCTATCATAGAATTTTAATAGATAATTTAATTACAAATCTTATCTTCGCTTGGCTTAGTTTAGTTTCGCTCGCAGTGGCCGCCCGCCTTAATGCAGATGTAAACGAAACGACGTATCCAACTTTGCAGGGTGGGACCGTGTGCACTCTCGCTCAGTCTACTCCTTGCCTACCCACTAAATTTGATGGCTATCGGACATCAACTTTTGACATTTTTTACGTCAAAACTAACTGTCACAGTGACACGCGTCGTACATGGTCTAGTTGGCCTTGGTCCAGTCTACCGACATACCAAATTTCATTTAAATCGGACTATTTTTGATTTTATTCATTGATGATGGGGATTCGTATTGGCTGAAACTCTACATTCCGAGCTTCAGCCCCTTAGCTCACATAGAGCCCGATTTACGACGCTCTAAAGACCCATTAAATCTAACGATTTTTTCGCCATTGATGATAGGGTGTCATAGTACACGAAACGTCCTCAAAATATCATGAAAAAATGGGGCGGTACAGACTTTAATTTACCTTTGTAATTGGGTGCTCATGCTTAAAGAAATAAATGTCCATTTGTTGCTAAATTCCTGACCTCACTGTATGTCTTTAAACTAATATTATTAAAGTCGCGCAAATTGTGTTGTACATTATACCGTATGATCGAAAAAAAAAGGGAACATGAATGTCAGCGATCCCGTTTTTTTTTTCGATCATATTGTATAAACTAAATTGTTAATATTAATAATTTAACTTTAGGAAGTTTCTTATGGATTTTTATTGACACCAACTCACAGAGAAGGACCTACAAAGAGAAATAACACCATAGATGATCCAACTGATCAATCACATTTATCAAGAAAACAAAGACATGTGGTCGCTAGGTATGTCATGTATCTGAATTAATATATTTATTACCAACAATGACTAAAGAATACAAGGACAAGTAACACCTGCGACCAAATTGTTACCATACTAACAAACACGGCCGTGGTACGTATTTTTCTTAACATAGCCGCTTGAAAAGATATTTATATTTTTGATAAATGTTTTGACTACGCCTATGGTGTATGCGGTGGTTCATACTAATTAATTACGAAAAAAACGTATTAAAATGTTAACAAAAGGTACAAAACTAGTATGACGTATAGCACATATCAAGTACATATAATATCAGAAAAATAATTATCAAATTCATTAAAAAAACGCTAAAAAGGTGGAGTTTATTTACCTATGAAACGTAACGCCTGGCTCTTTCTTATCGCTGCGGCTTTTACACTTGAAAGGGGCTGAACAAGTAATTACCATTGTAATAAAACTTATACAAAGTTCACTACACACAAACTATTAAAAATCGCTAAAATTGTCGCTGATGACTCATTTCATCATCACAAATTCTGCTGCAGTCCGTATATGGGCGTTACATGTCCATTCTTTAGTCATTGATTTCCATACATACATATATCATATTGCTTTATATATGGAAATATACCGATCGGGTCATCTTAAAAGCGTGGTCTGGATTTTAACGTGTAAGACAGTGATGTAAACAGCTTAATAAAAAATCATATGTATTAAAAAGAGATAAAAGTTAGCTTGATACATTTCATCTATGCGATATTTACTGTCCTCCATTCACGCAGTTGTGCAGCTCTGAACTGTTCAAGAACGCCATACTCTCACTCCATTCAATTGAGTCATAAAGTTCGGAACTGTTCCGCGCCATATGGAGGCACCATGCTATCGCGCACAGCTCCTTTCAAAACCGTTCTCGAGTAGCCCAGGGCGTAAAACTCTGGAACTTGAACTTTGCGAATGGAGGACAGCAATTGCCGGATTTTGCATCAAAATTTCAAACTGCAGAAGTAGGCGTTTATAAAAAATGTTACATCTAGGGTTGGAACTTTATTTTTCATAGTTAGTTTATCATTTTACTACACCTCTAATAAATTATATTTAGCTTAGATATATTATCCTCATTTCTGTGTAGTATATATGTTACGGTAAATATCCGAAATGCGGTAAAACCTAGGATAAACGCGCTAAACCTAGGATTTACCAATGAATAACACCCTCCAAATAACCACGCTAACCAACTCGAAATGCGGTAAAATCTTTTCGGACATATACAGTGACATATATAAAAGTTTTTAAAATAGTTACTTTTTTTTCTAATTTATTGTTGCGGACCCGTGTGGACTCGACCTAACCTAACTATATGTCCCGCCCTCAGATGACCTTAACATCGCATATTAAAGAATAGACACCGTAATGATTCATTCGGACGTTCGAGAAAAATCGAGTTCCACTGGAATTGAGTAGTGCATACGAGATACGAGAACAATCGAAACCTTCTCTGTGCATCTAACGATCTATGGACTATTCTAGAAATCTTTAGCTGTGGGTATAAAAGCCGGCGGCTGGGGCCTAAAGAGGGCAGATATAAATAAGACGAGTACAGTTGACGTGGGAAGTTCAAAATTCTTTCTAGATAAATAGTTGTAAATCGTTTGTAAATAATTCTTTAAGTCTTTTATCGTTATTGTTTTTGTTAATTAGTGTTAAATAAATTGTGTTTAAATAAATTGTGACTTCCTATCCACACGGAACCGACGAAAAACGTAACATTATTTTAGGCAAATATAGTAATATAGTAAAACCGGGTTGATAAGAGAAATGTCTTGGGTCGGCGTTTACCTACATGTCTAGTAGTGAATCGCTATGGCGATCTTGTAAGTCGAAGAGAGATAAATGCGAAGTTTATTACCTATCCACACATATCCCTATTCCCTGCCTACACACGTAAAATCCGGCAACACTGTATGCTGCTCTTTATTTTGTCTCTCTATCTGTCAACCGGTCATCTCTGTCGCATGCATTAAAATACAGACCACAGAGATAAAGTGTCCAGGACCGTATGTAATAAGATATACACACAAACCATTAAACGAGCACAGAAAATTAGAGAATTAGATTTATTAAACGTGTACCTGTGAAAATTGTCAAATCTATTTTTACTTTACAGGACAAAGGTAATAACTTGGCAGCCAGATCATAAATGGTAAATAAACATTATTGGTTTTTGGAAAAATTGGTATTGTTTAGATAATTGAAAATATACTAATTGTGATAGTCATGTAGTACTAATATAGATAACAAACAACACTGGATATTATAATCTAAAGGATGTTTATATTACATTGTCCAAACTGTCAGGTGTTGGTGATATATTGTATATTTTTAATAAGTTAATTAAAAAACAGAGAAAAAAATGGTAATAAATTCCATAGTGAGATATACAGTGTTTTAGCTGTTGCATAACTTTGATGATTATTAGATTGGCATATAGTGTATTTCATAAGATGTAGTTGTAAATATTAATATTTGTAAAGAACATTTTAGTAATATTTTTACTAATACCGGGTGCGCCTCAAAAGTGACTCACCCCTATAACTTTTTTATTTTTTCAGATAAAAAACGAGATTTGGTATGTTAGTATATGACATAAATTAGGATTGATTGACGTCCTAATTTATGTCATATACTAACGTACCAAATCTCTTTTTTGTTTATGTGAAAAAATAAAAAAGTTATAGAGGTGTGCCACTTTTGGAACCCACCCGACATACATAAGTATAATAATATACACGGTGGTCCGAATTGTATCCGGAAAACTTTGGTACCATATTCTGCAGATAAAAGTAAGTAAAAAAGTTCCTATCTTTATCTCGTGAAATGAAGTTTCTTTTTTTATTTTGAAGTTCGGATCTTTTACAAGATGTTTAAATAAGAAAAATTCGATAGGATTGTTTCTTTTTTCCCATTCAAAATTTTTTAAAAAACCCATCCATTTACTTTTAGTGCATAGTAATTTTCAGCAATCGTGTAACTTTTTTATTTAAAAAGATTTTCACATATTGTCTGTGAAGAAAATACATATAGTAGAAATATTAAGAAAAATTTTCTAAAAAACAATTATTTCTAATGGATTTCGAGATATCGATTTTTGAATTCAGTTTCATTTGAGTTCTAATAGCGCGACCACTATCGAACACCGACTCAATTCCGCTTATTTTTACCAAAAGTGCAAGTGTTTCTAACTTGCACTTAAAAATTTACAATTAACGATTCGTTAATAGATAAATAAATAATGTGTAGTGAAAATTAATATTCTTACTTTATCCACAACGAAGTTACAGGGTGGTGAAAAGTGCCGCTAATACCTTCGAGAAAAGGTTGGTACAGTTGTGCTCGATTTGGCCCCAGATAAAGTATCACGATACGTAATTAAATCCTGAAGTTGAACGCATAATGTACAGGGTGGGTCAAATTCGACGCTTTTAAATGGAAACACCCTTTTCTATAGGAGATAGACAAAAACTAATATCGGTGTCTGGAGCTCAATTTTTGTCAAAAACATGATGGTGAGAACCGCATATCAATATCTGTTACCGTTTCGGAGTTACGGGGTGTTTTTCAAAAATATGCGTTTTTAACAAATCGCTGTAACTTTTTTGTTATGGAAAATGTTGTATTTTTATGAAAACATTTCCAAAGCACCTTTTTACGTAGAATTTAATGGTTTAAGTATAATTTTTTTAAAATTAATAATTTAAGAATTATCAACAGAAAATTTTATTTTTTATATGGGACACCCTGTATATTTTTAATTTATTAAAAAAAATTTAAAATTACCTTTCCAAAAATATAACACACTTGATATTTTGCTCGATTCCTCTTCGAGATATAGAGTATATAAATATTTGCCCGCTTTAAATAAGTAGGCTTTGAACGGCACCGGCTGTAATGCAAAAAAATTCTAGCTGTGAGCATCAATTAAAACGAAAATAATATTTGCTATGAGAGATGCAGAATTTTATAACATTTTAAAATATATTTAACCCACATCAACACATTTAAACTATATCTTATAACAATAAAAATAAATAGCAAACCAAGACATGAGATTTTGCTACAGGTGTTCGACATATGGACAGTCTTCTGTTATGGAAGACGCGGTAGTTTTTGAAAATTTCTCGCAGAATTCATAAACTCAGTGGGGGTGAAAGATACCCTCTTATAACTGCTAAGTATTTTTAATTCTTGTCTAGATTATACGGAAGAATAAGGAACCTTTATTCTTCCGCAAATATATCCATAGGATTAGATCCATGGGCACTAAGTCAGGCGGAGATCTTGGTATCCAATTATTCTTGAAATTGGCTGCAGAAATTTGCTGATAACTTCAACGTTCAGAGGCTGTGCGTCGTTTTGCTGGAAAAATATGTTTTCGAGTTCCATTAAGGGAATATCATCAATAAGGGGTCCAAAGCCTACTAGTTAAAAGTGGCGAACTTTTAAAAATTCTGTATTTCGAAGGCGATTATAACAAAATATCAAGTGTGCTATATTTTTGGAAAGGTAATTTTAAATTCTTTACAGTTAATTAAAAATATAGAGGATGTCCCAAATAAAAAATCATTTTTTCTGTTGATAACTCTTAAATTATTAATTTTAAAAAAATTATACTTAAACCATTAAATTCTACGTAAAACTCCGAAACGGTAACAGATATTGATGTGCGGTTTTCACCATCATGTTTTTGATGAAAATTGAGCTCCAGACACCGATATTAGTTTTCGTCTATCTCCTATAGAAAAAGATCCATTTAAAAGCGTCGAATTTGACCCACCCTGTACACCCTTCCCTAGACTTGGTCCAGTACACTTTGACCGTGTCAACCAGGCTTTACTGAACTTCATAATTTTGATTGGTTTACTCAAATACGTTTAAATAAAATATACGGAGGGTACCGCTTAAATTCCTGTCCCGATGTTGAAGGATGGCTATAGAATTTCAATGTATTTCCTATATAAGTCTATCCTTGTGTGGTAGATCCACCTTCTAAACAAGCTCCTCAATCCAACAAACTTGATCTTCTGTCCTTCAATTCTGGGACATAAATTCTCTCATTGCTCTTATGGGGAGGCAGCCGTATATTTTAAATTAAACGTATTTGGGTTTACTACACGTAACATACTTTCAAGTGAAAAGTTCCTTTATTTATCTCTAGATTAGATTACCTACCAAAAATATTAATTGTCAAAGTTATGTACAAAATAGCAGAACAGTAAAGAACAGATATAGGTATATTAGACATGCTTGATCATAAGTGCACACTGGTATGAGTCGTTATTAATTTAGGTTTTGGTCTTGACGTGGTTTGAAAACTTTCTTTTTATATTATATTTTAATTAAAAGAATTAATTTCCATTCTAGGTGCTTCTCCTATGACCAAGGAGCCCAAAAAGCTTCTGCCCATGTTCTTTCTCAATCGCCGCCCGATATGAAAGAGGAAACTTTGAGCGGCGGTGCTCTTGCGTACCACCCGCACCTTTTAGACGATCCGGAATTGATAGCTGGAAAACATCGAACGTTGCTCACCTTTGCTTCGTACATGACATCGGTCATTGACTATGTGAAACCGTCGGATTTGAAGAAGGAAATAAATGACAAGTTTAAGGCGAAATTTCCTCACATTCAACTCACACTAAGTAAATTAAGAAGGTATGTGAAAGAAATTTGGATAACTATTAGTAGACATCGATTTAATGTATTTTATATTAATAGTATACCGGGTGTTTTTCAATAGTGGCTCACCTCTATAACTTTTCTATTTTTTCAGATAAGAAAACGAAATTCGGTATGTTAGTATATGACATAAATTGGGATTGATGACTTATTCAATTAGTTTCTGTCACTTCCTGTATCACCGAAAATGACTACAGTTTTTTTATTTTTAAATGTTACCCTCGGTATTTTGATTTTTACCTTTTGTATTTTAATTTATTTGATAGAAAATGACATTCTGAATAGAATGACATATCATATATCAACTTTTGACATTTTCAATTAAAAAAAATAGATTTTAAATTTCAATTTAGAGTGCCATAGCTGTGTTAAAACTAGTGATGAAACGGATAGTTGTTTGGTCGGATACCCAATACCGGATATTCGGTAAGTTGAGAGGCCGGATGGCCGAATATCCGGCCATCGCGATTGTTTCAGTAAAATCGCAGATGAAAATAATAGACAATGTTACTATCAAGAGAAAAACCCAATTGCAAGCGTGATCGACTACTACTTGAAAACTGTTCGAATTGATCACAGCCGGGACCCTTACAGTTGGTGGTCAGATAACGCAAACCACTAGACCCAATTTGACGAAATATGCGAAAATAGACCTTTCAGCTCCTTGCAGCAGTTTTTAATAAGAGCTTGTTTTCGGAAGCTAGTTTGGTTTACGAAAACAAGCGAAATCGCCTATTACCGACAAACGCTGAAAATTTAACTTTTATTCACCATAATTTGCCACTTATTAATTTTGACTATTAATTTTCTAAAATTCCCTTTGAATAAAAGAAAAAGAACAAGATAGTAAATTTTAAGAATCTGTGTATTTTTGTTTTTTTTTCATTTATTACTAATTATATTATTTATGTCACTATATGAAGTTTTCATTTTTGTATTTTTCATTAAAGTGAATAATAAATATTTGTAGTTTTTTTTGAATTTTTTGTTATTTTCAGTTTTAAATCAAAGCAGTTTAAACTGTAAGTACATTATTTCTTGTTATTTATGTTACTTTTTGAATATCCGGTATCCGGCCGGATATTGAGTTACTATTCGGTATCCGGCCGGATAGTAAATTTAGGCCGGATACCGGATAGTTGCCGGATATCCGTTTCATCTCTAGTTAAAACCATTAATTTTTAACCAAGTAGCTTTGAAAAAATAGATTTCATCATCTAATGTTTTTAGTGATTTTCCTCGCCAGTTAAAAGATGCCCAAATCGTATTTTTAATCATAACTGATATTTTTAACCCAATCAAACGAAGGTGGCTTATATTTGGAAAAAGCATTTTTTACAAATAATTTGGTACCACATACTTGGTATTTTGAGTCCAACTGTCGTTGCATTTACGGCCGTGGTACTGTAGATTGAAATTTAAAATATTATTTTTTTAACTGAAAATGTCAAAAGTTGACACATCATACGTCATTCTATTCAGGATGCCATTTTCTATCAAATAAAGTAAAAAAATTCCGAGGATACCGTTTAAAAATCAAAAGTTGTACTAATTTCCGGTGAAACAGGAAGTGATCGAAAATAATTGAATGCGTCAATCAATCCTGATTTATGTACCTGTTTTTACCCAATTTAGAGCAAAAAATAATTATTTTTATTACATAATTTGTACTATGTAACTTTTATGCTATTCTTATTTTATTATTTTGCCATTTTTTGCCTACCCTGCGTTGATTTGCACTTCACGCCACTGAAATAACAATGACATTATTGAGAATTCCAGAAAAAGACTATTGTTACGGATTCCTTGGGTCTTTACGAATTTATTTTCCATATAGTTGGACACATAATTTATAGGCTTGATGCATTTCAGTTGATTTCAACAAATTCCGACCGCAGCGCTTCGACGGCAGAAATCAGAAATTATCAGTACATATTTCACGCCGCCGTCATGTTGATCGCATTAAAATAATATTGAAATCGTGGTTTAGTCATAATATTTAAGTATTTTAGTTTTTTTGCTAGTGTAGCTGTTGAAAAACTAGGCGTCGCACAGTGATGCAGAAGTTCCCAATAGTGGCAGAAAATCAAAATATCAAAAGTATTTTTTTTAATTATAATTTCACTTGTATAGTTCCTAATAGTCCATATTTTCAGAATCGTGAACATTTTTGAATAAAAACGGGCCTATTATTAATCCCTGATAAGAAATGTTCGAGCTTATAGGATTATTAGCTGAAGCTAAAATAATTTGATTAAATTTTGATTAAATAAAATTAGTGCGTTTAACGTTGGTGATAAATTAGCTAAAAACTGAAGGTACTCTGAGAAAGTACAATGCTTTCAAATGTTTTTCCTCATGGTAATTCTAGTTTTAACTTTCCTGGTACCATAAAAAAAATCAATAAAAGACCTTGATGTAATTAAGAACTGCTTAATCTAAAATCACATTTTATGTAAGCTAATACAAAATGCTCCAAATTGCTCCAAAAAAATATTAAGTAGGTTACAATTATTAGCCTTTTTTCTTCATAACTACAAAGTTTCATGACCAACATTAGCCCACAAATACCCTTTAGGTTGCCTAACTCTCCTGAAAACCATGATTTAGTTTTCCAAAATAAATTATGTATGATAGTATATTACTGGGTGTTTCTTAGATGCTGTAAAATATTGTTGTTGGTTAGTTTTAATTAATTTTAGTAAGAAAACTGTAATATATTTTCTCTTATTCAATTTAATTTTCGATATACAAAGTATTCAAATTTAAAAATAATTTTTAATGTGTAATTTTAACTAGCTTTTCCCTATTAAGCCTAAGTTTTTATTCGTTTTGTGCTTATATGACATTATATTTAATATATACTTAATATTTAATATTATATTTTATATCACCAAGACTTGTTCTGTCAAGTAAAACAGAACAGCATCCTGAGGCTCCAAAACTTATTATAGATTAAATTATTCGATTTTTTTATCCATTTGCTAAATCCATCTTAAATATATTATCCATCTTATCTAGAAGCTTTAGGATAATTTTTAGTTTCTTTTTCTTGTGTATTAAATTCTTGTATCTAAGTTCTAATTATAATCTAAGGATAATATTTTTACCACAGGTAATTACAGATATTTCTAAATTATAGAACATTTAAAAATATAACTAAAATTAAATGGTTGTAAGTGAACAACTGCTTACATCTAATGCGAAAAGAGCGCTCAATCTTTTAGATGTTTTGGTGTTACTTTCGTTAATAGCTGAAACAAAATATATTAGGTTACTGATTATTTGTTGTTAAATTGAGGAACTACATGGGAATATTTTAGTGTAAATGTAGTAAACCTTATTAACATTCAATGCGTTCAAACACCCGTCTTGTAGATGTCGCCGCTTATACCCATTTTATTAAATAAATCTGGTATGCGGATAAAAAATATCTTCGATTTAAGTAAATTTATTTCTACATTTATTCTTAACTTTTGCAAATAACGGCGGCAGCCTGTGGTTTAAAATTTCACCATACATCTTATTAGTTATTATATTTTGTATGAATTAACTTGGTGCTAGGTAAGATTTATCCATAATATTTAAGATCAGCAAATCATTTATATAATTTTCTAGCCATTATAGCAAAGAGTTACAAAAGAGAGAGAGAAATACACGAGGAACTTAAACTATCGCCTTTTACTTCATCAAACCGACCCTCAAAATTTCCCCCTGTTACATCTTGGCGCCCAACTAGAGGCTGGTGAAGTATTATATAGACAATAGAAGAACTACTGACTACGTGTATTTATCTGAGATGAATAACGGTGCCACCCCAAGGACTCACAACTACGACCTTCGTGGTGAGACCCAGAGTCGACTTTTGGATCTACGAGGTCGACAATCTCTTTCTGATCACATAACAACATCGCTCACAACGCCTCAGGGGCCGGTACCAACTACGACAGCCACGACGGTACCGAACACAAGTCCAACGATACAAGGTAGGATCTTTCCAAATTCTGTATTATCTGGATCGTTTATAAGAGGCAATAATAACGAAGGGGATCAGTGAGGCAACTTTATGTTTGTACCGCCACCGGCAGTTCATATGCCAGCGGCAAATTTCATGCCACCGCCATTTTGTAATCCGACTACTTGTTCCATGCAGCAAGAAGATTTAAAAACGATAATTTCTAGTGTTATTAATGAAGTACATAAGTCAAATATAAATAATAATAATATTAATTCTAATCAGGGCCATTTTCAAAATATTTGTACTTTTAAACCGAACGCTGACGTTCCTATTTTTGATGATAAAGGGGATATACACCCTGTAGATTTTTTAAATCAAATAGAAACCATGTATAAGTCACAAAATGTTTCTGTAGATCAGTTTTTAGTAGATAGTATAACTAATTTATTCTTTAGAGGAAACGCAAAAATATGGATGAACGCTTTCTTATCAACTTTCACTAATTTTCAAGATTTTAAAAATCAATTCTTAGCTCAATATTGGAGTCAATCTCAGCAACTTAAGATTAGACTTAAATTAGATTCGCATATTTACCCTATAAATGGCAGCGCTACATTTACAGAATATTTTAACTCCTATGTAGTTTTGGCTAAACATTTAGAACCTGCCTATCCGCCCCCGCACTTAATTCAAATTATTGCGCGACATTTTCCACCAAGTATTTCTTGTACGTTAATCGGCGGAGTTACATTTCAAGATGCCCTTCAGCGTCTTAGACAGGCCGAATATTATTTTAGTGCTAGTACGACAGATTCTTTTTCACATTCAACAAGACCGGAAAAAAAATATTTTCATAAACAAAATAATTCTAGACATGGATCACAATCACAACAGATGTCGGGACAAAATCAGACAAAAAACTTATCTAGTATGCAAACTGTGGATAATGTTGAATGTGAGGAAAATTCGGAAAACTAGATTGCTTTCCACAGACGAGCCCGGCTGTGGAAAACGTTTTAAAAGGGGCTTTTAGTTTTAATAATAACGTTAGAGATGAATTACTTAAAGATGAGTGTAGCTTTAAGCACGAAATTGTTAATTATAGATCGCCGATTATCGAAACGCAATTGTATGGTTATTCTTTTCCCGCTTTAATTGACACTGGAAGTGAAATCTCCGCAGTCTCTGAAGACGTTTGGAACTCTTTTTCTGATAAAATTAAAAGTGACATTCCATCTTTTTCGTGTTCTGGTATAAGAGTTATAGGGGCGTTTAAATAAAATCAAAGAAAAATACAATTACAAACTTTAATTTGTTTTTCGTGTGAAAATAATATTTTTTACCAGGAATTTTTTGTCATACCCGATCTTGTTTATTCAATTATTTTAGGAATTGATTTTTTACGAAAATACAAAGTACGTATCGATTTAAATATAAATATAAATAAAATATTTTGTTCGGTAGGCGATGAAGAAATTGCTTTATCAGAAAAAATTTATTCTCACGAATATAATGGTAGAGAATCGTTAAATTTGCGCAGTTTATCAAAATACGAGAGTTTTGTTACAGCAAATGCAGTTGTGCAGTCAACTGATATACAGAATGTCACAAAAAATACAAATTTAAGTTTTAATGAGAAACATATGTTTAAAGAATTGATTAGCGAATATGAATCGATTTTTTCAAATATACCGGGTCGTGTAAAAAATTATAATCATCAAATTAAACTTCATAATACCGATCCATTTTTTATTAAATCATATCCGATACCCGTAGTTTATCGAGAAGCCGTCAATAAAACTGTCACGGAAATGGAAAATCTGGGTATAATTGAACGTGCTGCAACTCCATACATATCACCCGCCATAAATTGTGTGAGCTATATAGTTATAGCATATATATTGATACTATTTATTAAATTTATAAATTATGTGAACCTCGTGTGTTCTTCGATCTCTCAGTTCACAGGGAGGCAGATGAAACAAAATATATTAGGTTACTGATTATTTGTTGTTAAATTGCGGAACTACATGGGAATATTTTAGTGTAAATGTAGTAAACCTTATTAACATTCAATGCGTTCAAACACCCGTCTTGTAGATGTCGCCGCTTATACCCATTTTATTAAATAAATCTGGTATGCGGATAAAAAATATCTTCGATTTAAGTAAATTTATTTCTACATTTATTCTTAACTTTTGCAAATAACGGCGGCAGCCTGTGGTTTAAAATTTCACCATACATCTTATTAGTTATTATATTTTATATGAATTAACTTGGTGCTAGGTAAGATTTATCCATAATATTTAAGATCAGCAAATCATTTATATAATTTTCTAGCCATTATAGCAAAGAGTTACAAAAGAGAGAGAGAAATACACGAGGAACTTAAACTATCGCCTTTTACTTCATCAAACCGACCCTCAAAATTTCCCCCTGTTACATAGCTAACTACATAAAATATACAGATGTATTTAGTTTATTTTTTTTCTTTTTTTTTTCTCGTGGATATGAATGTCAATATCTTGAATTTAAGTAATACTTATTGGTAACTAGTTCCGGAAAAAGGATTAATTATATTAAAAACGAAATGCTAATTCTATTGTAAGGGGCTGAAAATAAAACCCTGTATATTTATTTATGTGTTTACACAAACTTTTTTTTGATTTTTTAAACTTTACAAAGAATAGAGTATTAAATTAATATGCTATTAAAGACAAAATAATATAATTAAATTTTTTACAACCCATCTTTTATTTTTTACAACCAATTTAAGTACACTCTGTATACATAATTCAATTTTCTGAATTCAAAACATCACTTATACACTTAGAAAACCACATTTAACAAAAATAATTATAAAAAAATGTAGTAGTAAGTTGAGAAATTATTTTTTGCCACTTTTCGCGTTTTCGGCATCACTGTGCGTCGTGTGGTATTGTGACAATTTCAAATATTAATAAAATTGCCAAAAAAATGTTAACGCGCATAGGAGAGCTTAATTAGGGCGTTGTTGGGAGCAATAACATTCAATAACTCAACTTTCCCCGATATTGAACTCTTCGAAAACAACACATTATAGCTTCATAGTTTCTCACACCGATTTGATCTAAAGCAAAAATGGATTCAAGCAGTTCGACGAAACAACGTGCTTGTTACATAATCAAAAAATTAAATAGACATATACTATGAGAGGATAAAATATAATTTGCAATTTTAATGGTATACTCTTTTTTTTAATCAACTAGTGCTTAATTTTTTTATGAATATCTCCTAAAATTATAATTATGTACCTTAAAAAAATTTCGTTATAGCCGAAATAGCCCAAGATATGTCCCCACTAGCAAAACCGGTGCGTAAAAGTATGCTCGCTACCGTAGTTGAACTCATCTAAGAAGTTTTATTAGCTTCAATAATAAATTATAGTTTAAGTTAGAGCCTCTGAAGATATCAAAATATTTACTTTTTAATTTTTTTTTTTAATTTTCACCAATTATTGTTCCGAGCACTTTTAGAATAATTATATTAGTTTTTTTTATTTAATGCTTCTGAACGATTTGTTAAAAAATTAAACTAAACAGTATTAACTAACTAAACTAAACCAAACCAAGAATTACATAGGTACTATTAACATAGGAAGGAACTTTCGTAACAGTATCAAATAATAATTAACTTTATTTTTTTCAGCATCAAGCGCGAAATGAAGAAAATTGCCAAGCACGATTGTTCCATCGACCTGCTAACAGTGGCGCAGGCGTACGTTTACTTCGAAAAGCTCATTCTACGAGGACTAATCAACAAACCCAACCGAAAATTGTGCGCCGGAGCTAGTCTTATATTATCGGCCAAGTTGAACGACATCAAAGGGGACACGCTCCGTTTACTCATAGAGAAAACGGAGACGACGTTCAGAGTTGGACGGAAGGAGTTGATAGCGTGCGAGTTCGCGGTACTGGTGGCCTTGGAGTTTGGACTACACGTACCCACATACGAGGTGTATCCCCACTATCAGCGTTTACTATACGATTCATGACCTATGCCTCAGTCTGCCAATGTATCTTGCTTGAATTTTCCGATTCCTTTTAGCAAAAAAATAATATTTTGAAATTTATATTTTTTACACAGTACCCAAGTTACTTACTACACGATGGCCCACTGTTCGGAAAAAGCTCATCATCAGTTATTTTACACTAAATTTTTGAATATTTAAATGGCATGCTAACATTACTCTATAATCGATTATCTATAAAATTACCAGAAATTCATGATCTATACCAAGTACCATTTTCGAAATATGGCAGAATTATTTATTTGTTATAGTAGTTATAGTTTTATTTTCTCAAATCTTACTACATGCTAACATGTTACATTGCTGTATACCGTGCTGGCAACTGTCACTTTTGGGTCGGTATTTACATGTGTGGAAGTAAATCACATAGGGATCTTATTAAGTTGGAGTGAGAGAAATGCGACGGTGTGCTGTTGCGGCGTTACCGGTACGCCTTTCCCTATCAAGTAAAGTAAAATAACAATCGTAAACCGCTAATTTTTAAAAGACTTTTTTTTCGAAAAGATAACTAGATAAAGTCATTAGATATGTTTCTGAGCATCTGAAATGGAATTATAACGATATCGTCAGGGTATCCATTTTTTTATAACGAGAAAACGTCCGTAATCGCAATAATTTAAAAACTCAACTTTAACAACACAAACACATATATGTAACACGCTACAACTTAAGAACCACTTTAGATATTAAAACGTTTTTTTTTATTTTGAAGATCGGATCTTTTACAATATGTTTAAATAATAAAAATTCGATAAGGTTGTTTTTTTCCATTCAAAAATTTTAAACAACCCATCCATTTACTTTTGGTGCATAACAATTTTCAGCAATCGTGTAACTTTTTTATTTATAAAGATTTTCACATACTGTCCTGGAAGAAAATATAGCAGAAATGTTAAGAAAGTTTTTGAAAAAACTACAATCAATTATTTCTAATAGATTTCGAGATATAGATTTTTAAATTCTAATAGCGTTCTAATAGAGTTCTAATAGCGCGACCACTGTCGAACACCAAGTCAATTCCACTTATTTTTACCAAAAATGCAAGTGTTTCTAACTTGCACTTAAAATTTTCAAGCTATAGGGAAAATTAAAACGACTCGTTAATAAATAAACAAACAAATTATCACGAGACATAAATAAATCGCGAAGCTGAACGCATAACGTACACCTTTCCCTAGAACTTTAAGTACTGACAGAGGTACTGATGGGTCGACCGGTCGACTGAGACCAATCTGCTATATCCCCTTCCACGTCTCTTAGCAATGTGCACAGTTTCTCGGTTTATTTCATACGTTTGGCAACATGTTTACTATTCTCTCTTTTTTCAGTACATTATAAACTCATTGTGCTCTTCTTACATACGGAAATCTCGACCCAAGACTAATGAGGTGAATATAATCTATATGATTTTTTTCTCCACTATGGAAAAATAAATACCTTTCATTATGAATCAACTTATTTTATAAAAAAAAATTAAATCTTCATAAGAGTACATTTAAAATATATCACAAGCTGCTCATTTAAAATAATTGAGAAAAATTCATCAAGAGTTTGATTTTTTACTCACCCTGTATATTACAAATGAGCATATTTAAGTATTATCTTTAATTATCTTTAATTAAAATTAATTTTGAAAATTTATTTTTAATGATATTACACAGTAACACAGATACCTACCTAACCTTGTCATATTTTGATCAGGCAATGGTTAATAACAGGGACGAACGTGTAAAAAGACGTAATGTAAAAAAATAGTTTTTTACTTGTAGGAAACATTTTATGGGAGGCACAAAAAACTACTTTTTCGAATGAGTAAAGCTTCTTTATAAACTATGTTTTCTGTTTGGGATACAAACTTCAAAGGAGCCGACACTTAGCGCCACTTCTGTATAGCTAAAGTATTTTGTAACAGTATTTCCAATTAAAAAACTTCAATAATTTTCAGTTTTATAATTTTGAGTTTTAGTGTTGAAAATTTAGTATAAAAATGATGCTATTTCAAAAACTACTAGGTAAATGTTTAGAAAAAATAAAACTTTAAGGCCACTGTCATTTTGAAACACCCTGTATATGCTGTACATATTAAAGTTCCCACTCCCACTGATCACATAGTCTGTAGTGAAAATTTGATATTGAACTTTTTCAGAACACTCTGTCATCCTGTACATTTTAGGTGTTTTGCACAGTAGTTATAATCATAATGACGTAGATAACTTGTAAAGTTATTACATTAGACTTGTAATATCCAATTTTTATGCAAAAATACATATAGTACATGTTTTTAAAGAAATTAAGGAAGAAGATATATGTATAACATTCAGATTTGAAATTTGTTAAGTGTGATTTTACCTAATATTTTTAATTATAGTCATTATATTTTAATAAACGGACGACAATTTGATTGTAACTGACATATGTCATAATTATCATATTTTTGAGAAAATATGATTTAGGTAGTACTTTTCATCCTTGAAATTGAGTAAAAAATCTTGTAAAGATACAAATGAGATGAAGCTAAAGTGTGATAGATTATCATCATTTTTTACCTATTCTTTTTGCAATATTTTATTGATAATTTTATAAGTTAAATTCAAAACATTATATTTGTTAGGATAAGGGGAAAACATTAACAAGCATAACTTTATTAACAAACTAATATTAAATTAAAAAAAATATAAATTAAAATGAAAATAAAATTAAAATAAAGTTTTCCAAAATTAAAAAAAAAATTAAACCCAGAAAACTATACCACCACAAAAGTTTTGACAAAAGTACTTTCATACAAAAAAGTAATCAAATGGCATTTTATGCAATGATTGCCTTGTCATCTGACTACTTATACATATTTCATTTAATTTTTTTGGCCTAATAATGATTTTCTCCAAAATTAGTAGCTGTTCTATTTGAGGAAAAATGATAATTACATCCCGACATGTGCCAACAGAGCTTTTCCATAGATTATCTTGATTCTAAAATAACCAGTCATGTAGTACTTATCATACATTTTTAACGAAACTTACTATGTGTTATATATGTGGTAAAAAGAACTGAAATAGAGATGGGTGCTTAAGTCACGCTTAGAGCATGTACTTATATAAGGTTATTCTTAGATTTAAATAAATATTTTTACATAACATATACACTGTAGGAAGGAAACCTTGTGATCATATGTAAGTATAATTAAGCAGTGTATGAAATAACATTTTTGGTTTATCATTTCCTTTTATCAAAAATAAAAAAATTGACCTGGCTTTTTTTATAAAGGGGTTTTATAAAAACTTATACCGGGTTGGTAATTCTAAATTGGTGACCTGTATTTTTATGAGTAAGACAGAGATAAAGAACCTAACTTACGTTATCCATACATTATGCAGTAGGTATAATTAAAAATTAGAAGTTAGAAATAAAAATTGAATCAAGCATGCACACCAAAAGAATGTAAAATATGAACTAAATTACTAATTAATTTTTGATATACAGGGAGTTTCAAAAACATGTGCCATTTCTCGTGGGGAGTTACTCACTTAAAAATAAGATTTATTTTTCATATCAATAAGTCCGATTCTGCTTTCTTTCGTAGCTACAGGGTAGTAACGTCTTAATATTTTTTCGATTTATTATAATTTTCTTCCAAGTACTTTTAGCGTTTCGAATGAATTTTTTAGGGTAAAAGTTACTATAAATGTGGCATATTTTAAGGGTAAAAAAGTGTCGCGATATTCACCAGGGACGTGCATATGGATTTTCACTGGAATATTTTTCTAAAAAAAAGCAAATTAATAAATTATATTTTACCTAATTTATTAGTAAATATTATTACTATTAGTCCAACGTCCAACCTGCAGCAATTTCAAATAAAAAAATAATGGTATTTAAGATAATTACAAAAAAACTAATTTTAAAAAGTTTTAACATCCTGTAGCTCTAAAACTATGCATTTCCATACCCAATGTTTATAGGAACTTTTTTTCATATTTTTTGATGAGGAATCAATGAGTACTTATTTAAAACTCTCGCAAGTTAATGATATTAAAATTTTTTAAAGGTTGCTATTAGACTTTTGGATCAAAGCAAATTAATAAAATTGCGTTTATCTCATTAAGGAGACCAAAATCGACAAAATATCAAGATACATATTTTAATCGGCATTAAACTGCATACACTATTTCTCTAACAAAAGAAAAAAAGTCAGTGGCGTACATGCTTTTTTCAGAAAAATATTTCAGTGATAATCCATATGCTCGTCCCTGGTGAATGTGTCGACACTTTTAGCTTTAAAATATGGCGCATTTATAGTAACTTTTAACATCAAAATTTTATTCAAAACGCTAAAAGTACTTGGGAGAAAATTATAATGAATCGAAAAAATATTAAGACTTTAACACCCTGTAGCTACGAAACAAAGCAGAATCGGACCTATGTTGATATGAAAAATAAATCCTATTTTTACGTGAGGAATCTCACCACGAGAGATTGCACATGTTTTATGAAACACCCTGTATTTATTCTCCTGCTATGATTCGAAATGCTTTACTTTTTTTATGGACAATACTGCATTGAACAAATGTCCCCTTTTGGTCTCGTTTTAACCTCTTTTGAATGTCCATTAGGGTATCTCCATCATTGTCTTACTCTTTAAAATCCGGACCACCGATTTAGTACCGTATGATCGAAAAAAAATGGCATCCAGTTGGCTGGATGCCATTTTGATGCCACACAAATTTACATATAAAATGCCAGCGATCTTCATTTAATAGCCATCGCTGACGCCGTTTTTTTAATCATACAGTATAACCAGGGTCTGTATACATATGATCAAAATGTTTTATAATCGGATTGAACTTTATTTAGCGGACCTAGAACATAGAATGTAAGATCAAAAATGCAGTTTCATAACTTGCTTAATTTTTTTCCTTTTCTATTATCTAGTAAAATATATAGTCTGTCCACAGAGAGAATACAGGTGACAGGAACAGTTCTTTGGCTTGCCATTTGTTGAAAACCCTAACTCGTTGGACAGACTTTAGCTCAAATTCGGTACTTAAGACACATTTTACTGTAAATTAAAACTTAGAACTTTAAACAATGTAGTTATTCTAGTAACTTTGACTGTTTTATAGAAGGGACACAAGTTAGAATTGTAGACAAAAATTTTGTAGCTTTTATTTACACTGTTAGAGCTCCAGTGGTTTTGAGATTATATATGTTTATTATTTAAATAACATTATTCTTTATTTTTTTAATTTGATGCATATGGTACAAATTTTTGATAGATAAGGACTACTAACAAACTATCATAGCTTTTAAAGTAAACCTATGTGTCTGTGAAGTATAAGCATAACTCTTTAAGATTTAAAAATAAGTTTTGCCCTGTTAATTTTTAATGTTTTGTGATCCACATTATGAATTTATGGTTGTGGTTATTACATTTAACAATAACATAATTATGGGTAGTCGTTATACACCTAAAGTTTCCTGTATGTTTACATGTTAATATTTTTATCTCTAAAATACTTTTTTGGTACTTAAGTTTTACTATTTGTTATGCAAGGAAATATTTTTTTTTATTTCTGATTTATTAATTTGTTTTAAAATTGTTTTTTTTTTCTTTAATATTTTCTGTTTTAATAATGTTTTTTATGTTTAGGTACCTTATAGTTTTAGTCAAAATAAATTTTATTTTATTCTAAATATTAATTATATCCAAAAAATACAATCCTCTTCTCACTAAGCCGAATCATACACATTTCTTAATAGAACTCATGTTAATCGAATAATGACTAGAAATTATAAATGTGAAACTCCTCTTATCATATTACTATTATTACATTTTTCGTTGTTAATAAAAGTTTAAATTCAGTTGTTTTTTATTTATACAAAATCACTTTACTTTTTGTGCTACTTATTCTTTCTAATATTAGTTGAAACGTATAATAATATTAATAAAAAATTTCAAGACACCAAAAATAACAAATTTTTCATACAAGATACTCAAATTAAAAATGTTGAAATCAGACGAGGCATTTTTAAAAATTTAAACTTGGCGCGATTTTTTAAATTGACGTCTCTCGGCGATCATTTCCCACCCCACAAAAAGTCGGAATTTTTGTAGTGTATCGGATTTTTACAGAAACTTTTGTTATAAATATTTCGGGGTTTATAAACATTTTCAAATGATTTTTTGAGTGAAACATAATAAATTTTAATTAAACATGGTTCAGGTAAGTTATTACGTTACTGGTTATTTACGGACAAAGCCTAGAAACGTAACTTTAAATTGGTAGAATTTTTTCTAGCTTGAAAAATAAAATGGCGAAAGAATTTTTCTAAAATCGATAGCAACATAACCCTACATTTTAAAAATGTGACAAACAATACGAAAATAGTTTTTTTTCTTTTTGTTTTAGATAGTAGAAAATAGAATGGCTTACAAAGATATACCTCAAGCTTTAGTACTCTTAAACGAAATGAATGTTAGTGCCCAACATGTTGCCACTCTTGTTGATAACATGATTCAAAAGGTTAGAAAAGGAGAATTATCAACGGATCAGGGCCTGAGCTTTCTAGAAATGAAATATAACATGTTGTTAAGTTACTTGATTAATTTAACCTACGTAGTTTTGCGGAAATGTTCCGGGGAAAAAATTGAAGGTGATCCTTGCATAGATCGACTAATAGAAATTCGAACTGTTTTGGAGAAAATCAGACCTATTGATCATAAATTGAAATATCAAATTGATAAACTAGTGAAAACAGCAGTAAGTGGAACCAATGAGAATGATCCAACGGGTTTTAAAGCTAACCCTGAGAACATGGGAGAAACTTTAGAAAACTCAGAAAGCGATAGTGCCAACGAGTCTGATACGGAGAAGACTCATAAGTCCAAATCAGATATTTATGTGCCTCCTAAATTATCTGCTGTACATTATACAGGTAAGAGTAAGCATTTATTTCACTATTATTATTTACTCTGAACCTTCATTTTGCTATGTTAGCATCATGAGTAGAAGATTTAAAATTATAGATATCTAGTTTTTAACAAGATTCTTAATTGCATTCAGAGTTTTCAATAAATGTTGTGAATATGTGTTATTTTCTTAAAAAAAACTTGATTTCTTATACCTAGCACTTATTTTTTTGTATTATATGAGTAGCCATTCAGAACCTCGCAATTAGTGGAATAAATTAGTGGTTCAATTTCAATTAGTATAGAAGTTTGTTTCTTTAATTCTTGCTTACATTGATGTAAGCATTCAGAACTCCGTCAAGAGAAATTGTGGTTAGAAATCAACAGTTGATTGTTTTATAAGCTAAATATTAGGTTTTCTCTATATGACTGACTAACACAAGCTGTTGCTAGGATATTCTGTTAATTTTAATTGTGTTTTTTTAAATATTGTGAATGATTGTAAACTAAAAAGTATAAAGTGTAATTGAAACCACTAATTTATTCCACTAATTGCGAGGTTCTGAATGAAGCTTTATTGTTAATAATTTGTTTATTCTAGGATCTGAAACTGCCCAAGAGAAAGCGAAACGTCTACAAGAGAAATCTAAAAAGCACGCATTATCGGCATCGATTCTACAAGATCTTCGTGAAGAATATCTAGATACTCCTGTGGAAATAACGCAAGGTAACAGAGCACAGCAAAAGCTTTCAAAAGAACAAAAGGAAAGACAAGACTACGAAGAGGAATACTTAACCAGGTTGCCAGTAGTTAAATCAGAAAAACATAGGAAACGCCAGTTAACTACTTTAGGCACGCTTGGCGATGAACTAACCGACTTCCGTTCTCTACAGTCCGGCAGTAGAAAAAGAAAAGGGAAAGTATTTAAAACAAAAGGGAAAGGTATGAAAAGAAAGAGATTTCACTGATATTTGTTACTACAAAATATTGTAGAAAATGTACCGAATTTTACAGGGTGTTATTCTAGAGACAGAATAAGTAACATATTTATAATAATTTCTTATGTCTAATGATTTCACAGTTTCACAATTGTCAGTAATTTATCGTTAAAATGTTTAAGAGATAATACAAAGTGTTCTATATAGATGCTTTCTTGAAACAAGTTTTTTACTTAAGCTGTAAAGTGAGATATTTCAGTAAATGCGTACTTCTATATGCACTGATTATATGTTTTATATCTCATACCTCTATTGACAGATATAGCCTATCCAGTAACATAACAACTGACAAATGGTTGCTGGACAGACTGTACTTTCATTAGACATAAGATTTATTTTAAGTTTTTCATTGGTAGAGTAAAAAGTAATACAGTGATATTTACATAATATATTAAAACAGAGTTTACAGCAATATAGAGAAGCTCAAAGATGGCTTTTAGCCAGATTTTTCTTTTATTGTTTAATGATGGGTTAAGTACAACCAAAAGATAATTCACAATGTTTTAGATTTGTTACTATGATACACTACAACTTGTTCAAGTTCATTTTTTTTTCTTGCTTTAATTAATTATTTATTTGAAGAATAATTTAATTAAATATGTTTAATTAATAATCTAAGATATTAGTTATTGAGAAGTAAGGAAAGATTTTTACTGATTTATAATGCTTCTCATCAAGAGATAATTATGATTTTGTTTTGCAACATGAATGTTAATAATGTAGCAAAACGAAGTAACTTTATGATATTTAACATGCCTAAATCATAGACAATATAGTTATATAATAGAAGTACTATTTATTTTGATGGTCGAGTATCTTAAATTTAGTGGGGTTATTAGTATTTATCTAAAAATTCTGCGTTTTATTAGCAGAAATTTATTGTGAATATTTGTATTCACTAAAACATATGTAGAAGTTACAAATTTTTGAAAAGCAAAGAATTTGCTTCACACTAGAAAGGAATTAGGACTCAATGGTATTAAGTCTAAATATTTTTTTACAATGAAAATGATAAACTCATTCCAAATTATGGAAATATCTTTGAGAAATCGTAAATTTTATTTTTAATATAATTATAATAATTATGTCTATTATCTAGGCATGTTTCGATTTGTATTGCTTTTATTTTTACATACTGAGCATATCTCACACATGGAGGAATCAAGAGAATAATTTAACATTTACTTGGTTAAAAAAAAGCTCACAGACCAGCTTATATGGAACAGACTCATTCAAGAACGTATAACCCACAAAATTCTAAAAGTTAGTGGTTATTTTAGTTTGCAAACTAAAATAAAAAAAGAATTTGCAAACTAAAATAACCTCTAACTAACTTTTAGAATGTTGTGGTTAGGTTAAGAACTAGTTAACTTTTGAGGGTTATAAATTAGGCTGTACTTAAACTGCCGTTAAACGGTAGCTTACTAAAATCCCGTTAATAGGTATGACGTCGTTGATGTGACGCACTTGACGGCTTTATGAAATATAGGAATTTTATAAGGACTAACCAACGCTATCCACCCCACCAAATAACCAACTTAACCAACGCAACTAACCTCGACACTGATAAAAAATATAAAAAACAAATATAAATTAGTAAAAATCAACCAACCCCACCAAATAACAAACTAACCAATGAATTAACACCCTCCAAATAACCACGCTAACCAATCCGCCAAATAACTAAACCAATCCAACTAAAAAGAGTGAAACCAATGCAATAAGATCACGCTATAAGCAAAAAAAAAATATAAAAAAGTCTTGGTCGGCGTGAGATTTGAACCACGGACCATTCGCTTACGAAGCGATACCCTGAGCCACTGACCCACAGGTGCGCTTGCAGAATGCTTAAGGCTAGGCATTACTTTCCGCCGACATGAACGACGTCACAATATCTGTTAACGGCATTTTAGTAGGCTACCGTTTAACGGCTGTTTAAGTACATCGTATAAATTACGCTAAATGTTTTTCCGCCAAAAACTGAATTCTCATGATTTTGTAACATTGGATCGACCAATGTCCAAATATCCAAAGGAACAATTATGATTATACAGAGTGAGTCTTAAATAAGTGCAAATATTTTCAGGGGTGGTATATTTCGACCCCAGGAACACGTCTATGAGGTTTTTTTCGCAAAAAAAGATGTTGAAAATTCGTGCATTTTCTTTTAAATTTCCCTGTATATTTTTCGAAAGCTTTTTAGAACTGCCTGTTCACCGTAAATTTTCCCATGGTGTAATTTCTTAATCACTTATATTACCATAATTACGGCTTTACTCTATGGTTACGGCACTAAAATGGATGCAATTATAGAAAAAATCCGGTGGCTCTCAAAATTTTTTCAAAAAAAAACAATTTTTTTTTAATTTTCAAACTTAAATAACTCGGTTATTTTAGACTTATCTGAAAAATGGTAAAGAGAAAATATGTTTCTTTTTTCGAGGTCTACCAGCCCTGAAAATATTTGCACTTATTTAAGACTCACCCTGTATATAGTCAAAGACCCAATATTTTCCTAAAATTTTTATCTAAACAGCTAAAAATGGGTCTTTTAGAAACAGTTTTATGGACATAGTAGATTTTATGATAGTAGAATTGGTAGAATTTTTGTATAAATTTGGAAAAAAAATAACATAAATTACAAAGACCTCAAACTATTAAATGAGGAAGATTTGTTACTTTTGGAAATTTACAGTGAAAGCTCTCATAAACGGACACTGACGGTTCCAGTAATTTTTTCCGCTTATGGGAGATGTCCGCTTAAAAGATAGGACTAAGAAATAATATATGTAATATAAAAATACAATTAAATATGATACTAATGATTGTATATACATATATAATATGTACATACATGCATACATTACGACATCCTATGACTCAATATCATTTATATAATAGTAAAAAAAAAGATAATACGATGTAGTTTTTAAAGAATTTAATTTATATAAATGTTAAAGTTACGTATACATAAGCATAATATAAAAAAGTCTAAAATGTGTGTCTGGCGGAATCTCTCCATTTTTTGCTGAAGAGTACAATTTTCATAATAATCTAGATTTTTTAAATGTTGAAATGCAGTGAAATCATCCCTAGCAAATTTTTTCAACATATTTAGATCTTTACTATATGAATTTATCGATTTTGAACTGCATGGTTCTTCCGATATTTCTGTACCTTCTGAGTCGTTTGCGCTGTCTTCTTCAAATGAGCCTCCGCTTTCTACATTGAAACTCAAAAAGTTCTCAACATCACTTTTTTCTTCTGTAGTTACATTATTGCGTTTTTCCAATATTAAACCTTTTTGCTAAATTACGAACTGAAACTGTTTCTTTATCTAAAACATTAACAATTTCCATCTTCTACTTCAAGGAAAGCATTCTTGTTTTCGGTGCCATTTTAACTTTAACTTCACAAAATAACTACTATACCAAAAACAGCGCTGTCTGAACTAACGATAAAATATCAACACAAACGCGATGCATACTAGATATAACCATATTAGTATAATATATTAATATATATATAATTAATAGTTAGGTATATAACCTAATATAAAACGGGGAATTACCGAGTATAATGTATGCGGACATGGAAAATTGTCCGGTTATTAGAGTTCCGCGTCCGCTTATAGGAGATTTTTAGTCGCATACCGGAATAATCTAGCGTCCGCGTCCGTATAAAAAAGCGTCCGCTTATTGGATAGCATTTAATATTGAAAATCATATGCTGAAATTCGGTTCCAGAAAACTTTGCCGGTTAAGGGAGATGGCCGGTTATTGGAGCTGTCCGCAAGGAGAGCTTTCACTGTATAATACAAAAATTAGAAATAAAACTATATAACTATCAAAGAATATGCAACTACATGCAGAGTAAGCAGAGTCATAATTTACCTTATCTACAGTATGTCCAAACTTTGGTATGTCCCCGGATTGTCTGTATATATAAACCGGATTAACCATTTTAGAACAAGCAAAAATGTTTATGAAGAATGCGTTTTCCTCTAAATATCAATAATAAAAAAGTTTTTCCTCTTGTAAAGACAATCCGGGGACATACTGTACGTTTAATACTGAACCAATGTCTATCAGTATGAACCTTAGAGTAAGACAAGTATGAACAATTGTTTGCTGTCATTAGAGAATGTTATTAATGAAGTGGAATTAACCGTACTATAGAGAAAAAACAAAAAAGAAAAAAATGTAACGAAAATATTTTCGTTACAAACAGATATCATAACTCTGATTTCATAAATGTTTGTCAGTCATGTATAATACCTGTCTGCGATGTTTTGTAAACAGCTTTTTTTATTTCTGCGCAACTCCTTATTTTCACAACTGAAAATATTGTCAGAACTCAGAATAATGATTGTCTGGATCTTGTAGAATGTTTAGGAGGGGGTTCAATCGCCGCGACCTTACAGATCTATTGTGTGTAGTGATGTTAATATTTCAGAAATTTTTGATTGTTGCAGGAAATTTCTGAAACTTTCGGAAATTTATGAAATATTAGGAAATTTTACAATTTTACATATTTTTTGTCGATACAATAAAGGAATAAATTAGATAGACATTTGATACCAACATGTAAGTGGAAAAAAAAACAATAAACATAATATTAGTTGTTATATTTTTAATAAACAATACATAACCCATAAAAGTCATAAACATAACCCATAACAAAAATAATTTGGTAACATTTGTATTTTATGCATAAACCACGAACTATGACTATGAATTAAAAAAACAAAAAAGCACGAAATATAAATTTAAAAAACGTAAAACACAAGTAGTAGTAGTAGTACTGTCTTTCGTCAGTTTCTATTTCCAAATCAGATATATTTGATGTATCATCTGGTTCTGATTCTGAAGGATGGACCTCTACCTCCACGAGTTCTAGTGGTTCTGGAGGAATTTCATGTTGTTGAATATCATGCTCCATATCCACTTTTTGTTTTTGTAGTAATAATTTATTATTATGAGCTACGAACATTATTTTATTGGCTCTTTGTGCAGTTAAGCGATTCCTTTTTTTAGTATGGATAAAACTGTAAGTACTGAAACTTCTCTCTGTGGCTGCAGATGACGCGACGTTGGTAAAGACAGCAGAGCAACAGCTAAATATTTCAACTGAGTATTTTTACACATTGCTTGCCACCAACTTAGACAGTCTACATTTTTAACTGACATCCAAACGTAGTCGAGAGCAGGGTTCGGAAGTAGTTAATTAAGACGTAATTTACCTGATTAACTACGTGTAGTTTTTCTTCAAAAACTACGTCTTTTCCCGTTCATTAACTACATGAAAACGACGTTAATAAACTATGTATTGATATTATGAATAATTTTCCTTTGTATGAGGTGTAATAGAGATAATATGATGCAAATATTATATTTAAAGCTATATTTCTTCTGTTTTCTTAAATACATTATGTGTTTTTAAAGCTTCAACTTATTAAAACCTCACCTCAAACCTTTGATATTTGAAAGTTACACACGTAAGTTACATAAACTACAACAGCTAAATATTTCAACTGAGTATTTTTACACATTGCTTGCCACCAACTTATGACAGTCTACATTTTTAACATGTACATTCCAAACCCTGGTCGAGAGCCCATAAACCCATTTGGCGCAATAATTTGTTACATCTGTAAAAATGGCTTATTATTGACAAACTGAGGATGATTGTTGATAAATTCCATAGCGGCTATGTGTTCTTCATTGTTAAGGTGCTCTCCCAGGAAACAGGGGTCCAAGAGATTCGCGGCAAAATGCATTGGTTCAAGAACCATAGGTTTTTTATTTTGTAAGGCGGAGAAGCATTCTTTTTCTTCTGACTTAAGAATCGGCATACTTGATACACTTTCGTTAAATTTTTGCTCAATGTCTTGAATTTTGAAAAGAAATTTCTTGCAAAATTCGGATTTTTGCGTATATTCGCGATTTTGAGACCGAATATTTCGGAAATTTCTGAAATTTCCTGCAAAATTCGAATTGAAATATTCGCTACCAACATCACTAATTGTGTGTTCCCCTTTCTTGAGTTATAGCGGGTTATAACTCATCATAAAGTCAGGGCTCTGACAAAAGCCAGTATATGACACGGCTCCTTCTGGGTCTTGTACGATGTAGGTACGTCGGATTTTTAAAATTTTCTATGTGGAATTGGGAAGAGGGGCACTTAAAATGACATTTTCTGGCGAAAAAAGTATGGATTATCCATAAATAATACCAGAATCTTACGGGATCGGTGAGAGAAAAGGGGTTCTGGTTGAGATATCAATAATTCATATATCAAATTTTTGCAATTTTCTGGGTAGAAATGTGAAAGTAAATACTTGAAAATTTCGACGGATTTTCGCTGATTCCTCTATGTAAGATGTGCTGTAAAATGTACAGTGCAACATCTTTATTTTGGTACAGAAATTATGTACTCTAACTTACGGACAAACATTTTTTTAAATAATACATTTATGAAACAAAGCTACATGTATCAAGAAATATATGTGGTGATTTCTTTTGCCAGTGTTCAAACACAAGTGGTTGCACTGTATTTTTTCGAAAATTCTCAACTTTTGTTTTTGTTTCAATTGCTTAAAAACCCCATTACCTTAACAATTGATATAAATTAAATAGACTTAAATGTATATTGTGTGTTTTCCGTTATTTGTTGTTAAGAAAGTAATTTAGATAATGCATTTAAGCATTTCTAATACTAGACTGACAAAATATTTTTCTATGAAGTTACTAAACTTTTCTTTAATAAGTTATTTTTTCATCGTTTTAATATAGTTAGGGTTACATTATGTATTTATTTTTTAATTTTCATCAAACGCTATTTTGTTCATTGAATTTCGACACTATTTTGTATGATAATCAGAATCAAAATCTTTGTTTTGGTTATAAAGGTTGTTTTTGTACGGTATTTCATTACTTTGTTACACTTGTCATTATTTGGTTATTAAGTTTTTTTATCTTTAACGTTATTTTTTATGTATTCAAATATAGTTATTAAATGTTTAGTGTTCGGTAGCTCTTAGTAATTCATAACATGTTTAGGTCCCAAATTTAGATTAAGCTACTGAAGTCAAAAAATTGTAAGCTCAAAATTTCTATTGTATCATTTAAAATAGTATTAGTTCTAGCCAGTTAGCTTTAATTTTTCTAAAAAAAATGTGAAAATTTACTTTAAATATATTTATTTTAATTGATTACATGTTTCTCTTTTCTTCATGTCATCCTTTAATAGATTTGACATGTGACAATATCCTTTTTGCTCTTGTAGTGTTTTTGTAAAAGCCTTGAAATTATCGTCGGAAAATTTACATAGGTTTCTACTTGCCATTTTTTTATATTGATTTCCAACTGCAAGCATACTTAACTAAGTAAAAAAAGTAGTAAAAAACACAATGAACATCAATGACAGAGATACGATCTTGGCTTTCGGATCGATCTTTCGATCTTCTCTCAAACGTAGCTCACTCATATAATTTTTGTAGTTTTTCGGGTAATAAACGAGATTTCACCTGTTTTACCGGAAATTACTACAACTTTGATTTTAAATGGCACCTCGGTATTTTTTTAATTTATTTAATAGAAAATGACACTCTGAGTAGAATGACATATCATATGTCAACTTTTGATATATTCAGTTAAAGAAAAATAGCATTTTAAATTTCAATTTAGAGTGCCATGGTCATAAATGTAACGACAATTCGACTCGAAATATCAAATGTGTGGCATCAAATTATTTGTAAAAAAAGCTTTTCCAAATATGCTAATGAGCCATCCTCCTTTCGTTTGAAAAAATTGAGATATTATTTAAAATACAATTTGGGCATTTATTAACTGGCCAGGACAAGACACCAAAAACATTAGACGATCAAATCTATTTTTCCAAGGCTCCTTCATTAAAAATTAGTATTTTTAACACAGCCATGACACTCTAGATTGAAATTTAAAATGCAATTTTTTAGCGAGAATGTCAAAAGCTGACATATAATATGTCATTCTATTCAAAGTATTGTAGTCATTTCCGGTGAAACAGGAAGTGGCCGTAATCAATTGAATACGTCAATCAATCCTAATTTATGTCGTATACAAATCTCGTTTTTTATCTGAAAAAATAATAATAGGGGTGAGCCACTTTTGAGACGCACCCGGTATACTATAGTTTTAGTACTCTATGATATATGAGACAAGCAATCATACTTCCAACAAATTAAATGTCTGTTGTGTAAAACAAAGGCCACAAACAAGAATCGAAGAAATAATAACGTTAATCTTTGTAGACAGTTAAAGCAGTTTCTTTTTTATTGAAGTGAAACTTTTTTACGCACGATGGGATTAAAAATTCAAGGCCGCGACTCACGAGCTAGCGTCACGCCAAGGTGCCAAGCGTCACAAAAATAGTAACGACCTTGGAGCGTCGTAACTCGGTTCCTATGCGAGCTAGGGGGTTGAAACTCGGAATGTAGATGTGGCTCGAAGAGCCTCGGTAGATTGGACCAAGACCAACCTGACCGTGTACGACACGTGCTACTGTGACAGTTTTGACGTAAGAAACGTCAAAAGTTGATGTCGTCAGATCGCGACTAAATTTGGTGGATAGGCTTTGCTTAGCTGCGCCTTTATATGCTAAAATCCACATCACAGATTTATGATGATCAAGTCTGTATTAGAGATGAGCAAAACTGCGGTTCTCCAATCGCAGTTAAAACTGCGATTGCGATTTTTGAAATCGCAGCGACTAACCTGCGATTGCGATTTTAATATTTACCAAAACAAATTATTCGTAAAAAATGCTTTTTCTAAATATGCCAATCTAAGATGCCAATGAGCCACCCTTTGAAAAAATGAGAAATGATTAAAAATACGATTTGACCATCTTTACTGGCCAGATCAAGACGCGAAAAACAATAGACAATCGAATATATTTTTCCAAGGCATCTTAATTAAAAATTAGTGTTTTTAACACAGCCATGACATTCTATATTGAAAATTAAAAATACGATTCTTTAAGCGAAAATGTTAATAGTTGCCATATGATACGCCATTCTATTCAGAGTGTCATTTTCTATCGATAAAGTAAAAAAATACCTAGGGTACCATTTAAAAATCAAAATTCTATTTTAAATTTCAATCTAGAGTGCCATGGCTGTGTTAAAAACACTAATTTTTAATCAAGAGTCTTGGAAAAATCGGTTTAATCATCTAATGTTTTTAGTGCGTTGTCCTGGCCGGTTAAAAGATGCCTAAATCGTATTTTTAATCATATCTCAATTTTTAGGGGAACGAGAGTGGCTCATTATTCATTAGCATATTTCGAAAAAGCATTTTTTTACAAATAATTTGATACCAGACACTTGGTATTTCGAGTCAAATTGTCGTTATGAACCGCATGTTGCAATTTCAAATAAACCATATTCGAAAATTGCAAAAGTTGACATATGATATGTCATTCTATTCAGAATATCTTTTTCTAGCGAATAAAGTAAAAAAAAAATACCGAGAGTGTCTTTTAAAAATCAAAAATTGTAGTCATTTCCGGTGAAACACGAAGTGACCAAAAACAATTGAATACATCAATCAATCCTAATTTATGTCATATACTAACATACCAAATCTCGTTTCTTTATCTGACAAAGTAAAAAAGTTATACGGGTGAGCCACTTTTGAAAAACACTCGGTATATTATGATCATGGTCTTAGAAAAATAATACCTTCTTTATAAATAAATAAAATCAGAGAAAATTCAATAGCAGTTTTCAAAATGCTTCAATAGACCACAAAATTACATTCGCAACAATATCGCAAATCGCAACTCCTAAAAATTCAAACACGCAGTTAGAAATCACGGTGCCAGTTGACAATATCACAATCACAGCAAAATCGCAACAAAGTCGCAAATCGCAGCTCTACTAATCCTGGTTGCCTAAATGGAAACTCGCAAATAGAAGAAATCGCAATCGCAGGTTGCGATTACGATGTTAAAATTGCTACGATTGAATTGCAGTTTGCGATTTTTTGCTCATCTCTAGTCTGTACACTAAATTTACTAACCCTTTTCATTTCATACGGATACGGAGACTGATAGCTCTCTTGCATAGTACTAAGGTATTCTTCTGCGCATATTTCTGGACAGGCCTTCTTAGTATATTCGCAAATATAACTACAAAACAGCAACAGTTAAAAACAAAGTTAAAACCTTTCTTAAACTCTGTACTCATTAAATGAACAGAAATTGATAAGTGATTGGGCCGATGATCCTTGCGCAATATTCCTAGATTTTAAATCATAAGCGCGCATAGCATCGTGAGTCTCTGAAATAAGCGGTTTTTGTTCCTGGTTCCCCAATCGATGGTAATGAGAGTTGTGCAGTCGAAAACAGTTCGGATCGTATGGATTTATATCAATTGGACGTTCCTCCAGGTATTTTTCCCAGTCTGTTATCTTAACTTTCTCATTGTACTCTTTTTTGCAATACAAAATTTGAGATGCGAGTCGATCTTTGGGCTTATTTTTGATTCCTTCTAACTGAAATAAATGTTTCAAAGATAATTGGAAAAAGGAATATTATTAAAATTCTTTTTACCCTAAAAGGAGGCATTTAAAAAAAATAAAGCGTCATTTTTACTGTAAAATGTGGTAAAGAATGTCAAAATATTATCTGACGTTTAATTTTCTGTCTATACATACAGGGTGGCACAATGGTCAGAAAAACCTTCATATTGGGTTTCCTGTTGGAGATTTCTCCATTTTTTTTTTCTTCAAAACATCAATCATCTTTTTGTTTCTCTTTAGGCTTGGTGCCTTCTCCTACGGTGCTGCCACCATCGGAAAATCTAATAAACCACCAACTTAATCATTATTAACGTAAAAATAAGAATTATTTTTCATATCAACATAGGTCTGCTTTGTTTCGTAGCTACAGAGTGTTAAAGAAATATAACTTAATATTTTTTCGATTTATTTTAATTTCCTTCAAAGTACTTTTAGCGTTTCGAATGAAATTTTGAGGGTTAAAGGTACTATAAATGCTTTGAATAAGAAGACTAAGGAAGGAGCATATCAAAAATCTTAGGTACACCGCGATGGGCCTCAAATATGGCCGACTTAAATTCCGGTTTATCAGTGTCGTTCTAATTTTATTTAAAAAATGTAAAACTATGATGTAGGGTAGACGTGGGGTAGACTCAATAATTTGTTGTTTTATTTTACGTTGTGAATAAATATTGGTATAAAAATATATAATTCTAATAAAAATAGATAAGTTATAATAAGTATTTATTAACACAAACATCCGATACGCTACTGAAGCAGGTAAGTCAAATTAACGTATCTAAATTCTTTGACATCTAATCTTTGACAAGTAATAAATAAAAGCTAAAATGCAAGAAAAATATATAATTTAGTTAATTTAAGTGAATTTCATAAATGATCGGTTTACTACACGTATGTATATTATATAGTCACTTACTAGCGAAAAGTTGTTCCATTATTTCACTCAATTTTTGCCGAGATCTACCGCACGCTACACAACCAACTATTTTAGTCTTTTTCGATAAATCGCGATAGTGTCACTGTTAATTTAAGTTCTGCCACAATTTCCATCTTGATTTACTACCTTTATACAACTATCAGTAGTAGAATAAATAATAAATAACATAAAATAAGCTCCGTAAAGACTGACAAATCCACAAAATTTCAAATCAAATTCAAATGTGTCAAATGAATCGTCAAACAGAACTGTCAAGGATCCCCACCCTAGAGAGCTTTTATGGTGGCTTTTCCGCCCACCATGCATGAATACATGGATAGCATTATGCTCCTTCCTTAGTCTTCTTATTCAAAGGAAATAATGAAGTTTTGATGTAAAATAAATATTTAAAATAGATCAGCCAATGGTACTACTTGGTACTCCTATATAAATTTAAAGAAGCAATAAAATTAAAAATTAAAGTTTATTTTTCTACCTTTAAATTCAGCACAAGAATTAATTCTGAAAAGTAATGTACAGGGTGTTGATAATCTATTCTACGGTAGCATGCATATTTAAATATCTTTCTTATTACGTCTTCTTATTCAAAGTATAAATGCGACATATTTTAAAGCTAAAAAAATGTCGACATATTCACCAGGGACGTACATATGGGTTATCACTAGGATATTTTTATAAAAAAGTATGTACGCCACTGACTTTATTCTCTTGTTAGCGAAATAGTGTAAGCAATTTAATGCCGATTAAAAGTAGTCTCTTGGTATTTTGTCGATTTCGGCCTCCTTTATGAGATAAACGGAATTTTATTAATTTGCCTTGATCCAAGTCTAATAGTAACCTTTAAAAAAATTTAATATCGTTAACTTGCGAAAGTTTTAAACACGTACTCATCGGTTCCTCAGCAAAAAATATGTTAAAAAGTTCCTATAAACATGGGTATGAAAATGCATAGTTTTAGAGTTACAGGATGTTAAAACTTTTTAAAATTAGTCTATTGTAATTATCTTAAATACCGTTCTTTTGTTATTTGAAATTGTTGTAGGTTGGACTAATTTTTTTAAGCAATAATAACTAATTGTAATAATATTTAATACTAGATTAGGTAAAATATAATTTATTAATTTTATTAATTGTTATTAATAAAATTGCGTTTATCCCATCAAGAAGGCCGAGTCCGACAAAATATGAAGAGAGATTGAATTTTGATATCAAAAGAAAAAAGTCGGTGGCGCACGTTTTCTTTTTGAAAAATATTCCAGTGATAACCCATATGCAGATCCCTGATGAATTTATCGACCCTATTTTAGCATTAAAATATATGTAGCACTTTTTCCCTCAAAATTTCATTCAAATCAATAAAAGTACTTGGAAGAAAATTATAATAAATTGAAAAATATTAAGATTTTAACACCCTGCAACTACGAAGCCGAATTGGACCTATGTTGATATGAAAAATTAATCTTACTTTTATCTGAGGTATCTCCCCACGAGAGATGGCACATGTTTTTTGAAACACCCTGTATAATAGTTATACGCACCATTTTGCTAGTAGGGACATACATAACTAGGGCTATTTAGGCTGTAACGAAATTTTTTTGAAGGTACATAATTATAATTTTAGAAGATGTTCATAAAAAATATAAGCACTAATGGGCACTTTCTTTATATTTTTTCTTAGGTCACTCACTTGTTTCGTCGAACTGCCTGAACCCATTTTTCCTCTTGATCAAATCGGTGTGAGAAATGTGGGAAGCTATAAAATGTTGTTCCAGGTGAGTTGTATTGAATGTTATTGCACACAACACCCACGCAACTATGCCCTTCTTTTCGTGTTTACATTTTTTCGGCAATTTTATTATCATTTATAATTGTTACAACCCAACGCAACGCCCAGTTCGTGATCTTTTTTCACTTAATTTTTACTTCCTTAAAGAGCGTTTCATCACACAAACTTCGTATACGTGAAGTTTAACGTAATGTTTAGATGTGACTTTACACGTTAAAATGCCGACCACCGATTTAGGATGACCAGGTCTGGATTTTTTTCTGCTTGTTGGTTCTATTTATAAGAGATTCAACACTCGTAAATTTCGAAAAGTCTTTATTAATAAAAATACTTTGTACAATGGCATATAACACATTTAAAGAAAGTTGTATAATACATTTTAACACTATACTTCAACAAAATAATTAGGATGCCCTTCAGTCAACACAGTTTGTTTCTCTTTAAGCCATATTGTATATTATCACAATATATCTTATAATTAAGTTTATACTTAATTTATTCGTTTTTATATAAAATATACACCTACTTACAATAATATAAAATCATTTGGATTTTAGCAACATATATTTCCGCTTATTCATTTTACCGCATAAAATACCTCCGATAAATATTGAACCGAGGATCATCAACGTTATAAGGAAGAAATATTGCTTAGACGGCGACGTCACGACTTGGCTGTAGAGCTGCTGGAGGTCCTCTGGCGGTACCGGAGGGGCAAACTGATGAAAGAGAAAATATTTTTAAATGGAATTATTTTTCCTTTAGAAACCTTAAATGTGGTTTTATGCAGTAAATTAAACGAATTAGATGTATATCAAAGTCAATTTGTGAAATCTATATACAAAAAATTATACAATGTATATAATATAAAGCCTTACATACCTGAGCTGCATTCTTATACATTTCCAACCTCTTTTTGAGCATATTTTTACATTTTGGAGAGAGCCTTTTGTTACTATCCAGTATGGTTTTTAAACAATTTATATCTGAAACAAAAATATTGTTGCTAAATACACTCAGATGCAAAAAAAAACGCAACAAAGAAATTTTTGGTCAAATTGTGAGTGTTATATTTTTGTTATTTTTAGCATTATTTACTTGAATTTTTTAGCAAACTGTATATAATTATATCAACTTTAATTCGAAAACTCAGCTTTTTATAAACTTTAGTATTTAGCATATTATACAGGGTTAATCGAGGGATTGTTTTCTTATCCTAGCTTTAAAACACCCTGTGCAATAATTTCGTCTGTAAACTCTCCTAAAATATAATTTTACGGTCAGAACCATGACTCCTGAGCATTTTTTTTTTGGTCAGGCCAATATATGCTTTGGTTAATTTTTAGGAGCGAAATGAACTTATAACGATCAATGTGTATTTTTTTACGCTGTACTTAAACTGCCGTTAAACGGTGGCTTACTAAAATGCCGTTAATAGGTATGACGTCATTGATGAGACGCACTTGACGGCTTTATGAAATAAAGGAATTTTATAAGGACTAACCAACACTATCCACCCCACCAAATAACCAATTTAACCAACGCAACTAACCTCGACACTACGTAAAAAAATATAAAAAACAAATATAAATTAGTAAAAACCAACCAACCCCACCAAATAACCAACTAACTGTAACTTAACACCCTCCAAATAACCACGCTAACCAACCCGCCAAAAAACAAAAAAAAAATAGATAAAAAAGTCTTGGTCCGGCGTGAGATTTGAACCACGGACCTTTCGCTCACGAAGCATGTTCAAGTTTTCAAGTTTCAAAGCATTTATTGAGAATGTCTCCTTAAATACAATAAAAAGGTGCTATATACAATATATATACAATAAAATAACATGATAAGATGGTATGTTGTTCTTCTGACGAAGCACTCAACCACCTAAGCGAACCCTGTGAACAGGGGGGCCGGTGTTTGCCCTAGGTAGCTCTTTTATTGACCGGGCGAGGACTGCATGTTCCGCTTTTGCTCACACATGCATTGGGAGTATAGAGGCAATGCACGAAGCAATAGCGTCAATCACGGAGCCACAGGTGCTCTTGAAAAATACCTATCGCCAGGGATTACTTTCCGCCGACATCAACGACACACAGTGATTGAAAATGCAATTCTACGGTTCCAAAAATATTTATGTTATGTAAGTGTTTTTCTCGGCTTTATTAATCAAGGTATAAGCTAATAAACTCTTACAAATGATGTTGCAAAAGTTTTTTTTAATAATAACTATAGATACGAGTACCTTTATTGTTTATTTATTTTCTCAGTGAGAATCTAAGAAAAATCAATGTTCTTTTTTTTCGAAAAAACGCTCGGACACGTCGATTATTGATTTCGTTGATGCCATTTTTGAATGATGCCATGAAGCCATTTTTTGATGATATTTTAATGTATACGGGGTTTCCCAAAAATTGAGTTATGCCAGATAACTTCTTGGTTTTAATGGAAACACCTATATTTGTTATTTTATTTGTGGATTTTATATAAATAACCAAAAATCGACATTTCACCATTTTAGTTTGTCTACCTATACAGTGTCTACCATAATGTTGGCTATATATGTTTTTTTTCTAATTTATAGGATATGCGAAAATTTTGTATGGGGGATCGCTCCTGCATGTTTAGTAACTTTTAAAGTCATTATGACATCAGTCACGTAATCACTGTCATGGCGGCAAATTAAAAAAACCGCTATGGAAACCCGAAAAGTGGGGTTAGATGGCAAAATATCGAAAAAAGTTATTCCAAAAAAGTGTTTAAAATGATATTTTAAAACTATCTACAAAATTTGCGACAATTATAAAAATTGGAAAAATAATATTTTTAGCCCTGGCTCCAAGCCTGGTTCTTCTATGAAAATTTTTTATATGGAATTTATTACTGGATTAGCCCAAGTAACTTGATATTCAAAGTATAGCATGCACCACTGAATTATTGGAAACCTGACAAACTGTCAAGAAACACGGCATGGCTACAAAAAATTACCGTTTCGAAATCGACTTTTCTGATTTTATCCTCTGGAAATGACTTCAATGTGAAATTTCGAATTGTTTTACTTTTACACATTGAGTATCAAGTTACTTGAGCTAATCTAGCAATAAAATCCGTATAAAAATATTTTATAAAAGAGCCAGGACTCAAAATATGCCTTTTTCTAGTTTTTCTTATTTCCGCTCCAAATTTTGCAGGTAGCCTTAAAATATAATTCTAAACATTTTTTTCAAATAACTTTTTTCGATATTTTGCCATCTAACCCCACTTTTCGCGTTTTCACAGCGGTTTTTTTGAATTTGCCGCCATGATAGTGATCACGTGACTGATGTCATAATGACTTTTTAGGTTATTAAACATGTAGGAGCGATCCACCAAACAAAATTTTCGGAAATCCCATAAATAAAAATATTTCCCATATGTAGCCAACATTATGGTGGACACTGTATATTAAATGAAAAGGGGCGCCTGGTGGTAAAAGTTTTTTGTTTTTTTAGAAGGAAAAAATGTAGAGAACAAAATGATGTTAGTATTTGGAAGTCGTAACAAGGCACAAAGAAGTTCTACCTTGTTATGCAACAACGTTTTCGCATTATTCGTTAATTTACAATGTACATTTTAATTGAGCGTCCTAAAGTATCTTTCATACTAAACATCATAATTTTATGTAAAACACAAATTACATATCTCCAGAAATATGTAGCATGTGTTTGAGAAATCAAAACACACAAACATTAATTTAACGAAACGATTAAGACTGCAATCGAAACAGAGATCAGAATTTCTCTGAACGGCGTATTAACTGTTTCGACTTGTTGTCAACGTGGAGCAATTGTTTCTTAGCCAGGGCGACTGGGATTTGTGTAGCACTGTTTATTAGCTTTCTTTGAAGGATAATATATCATTTTAAGATTTAAGTCAACAAGAAATTTGAATTTTGGAACTTCAGAATTCCATTGTCAATCACTGTGCGACGTCATAATATCTATTAACGGCATTTTAGTAGACTACCGTTTAACGGCTGTTTAATTACATCCAATTTTTTAATTATAATTACTTTTTGATGTAATTTTTTAATATGATGAGATAGTTTTGGTGACAATTGTCGTGACGTCATATTACACTGCATTGGATATTCTATACTGAATTAAAAAAAAAACGTTAAAGACTAACGATAGAGTCCGGATTTTAATAACGATAACAGAACTAACGATATTAAAGAATACATCTGTAATACTCAAGTATACAAACAGAAACAAAAATTGTAAAATATACCCTAATACTTTGTATTGCCGCCCTAGGCTGCTATAACTGCCTCTACAAGTCCGTTCATACTGTCATTGAGGTTGCATATATTGCGTTATGTTTTCCCATTCTTCTTTAAGGACCAACCTCCTGCCAAACGTCAAACATGATGGGCAGTTCATAGTAGTATATAGTTCACAATAATCACCAAGGCCGCCTTGTCACATTGAAAAATAACTTTAAAAAAGAAATCATAATTGAAAAAATTGCAAATTGTAGTTGGCAAGTTGGCAAAGTTCATTTCGCTCTTAAAAATTAACCAAGGCATGTTTTGACATTATCCAAAAAATTAAATGCTCAGGAGACATGGCTCTGACCGTAAAATTATATTTTAGGAAAATTTACATATTGCACAGGGTGTTGTAAAGTTAGGGTAAAAAAACAATCCCTCGATTAACCCTGTATAATATGACAAATACTAAAGTTTTTAAAAACTGAGTTTACGAATAAAAGGTGATATAATTATTATATACAGTTTGCTAAAAAATTCATGAAAATAGGGCTAAAAATAAATATAACAATTTAAATTTGACCAAAAATTTCTCTGTTGCGTTTTTTTGCATCTGAGTGTAGTATAAATAGCGATTGATGCTGGAATGCTTCCTAACAAATTTTTAGTTTAAAGATACTACTAGTGATGGGCAAAACTGTTGATATTTTATTTTTAGATAACAGTTGAAACTGTTACAGTTATTTATAAAAAACAGCTTAAAATAACAGCTTAAAAATAACAGGTTTCTTTATTTTATTGCTAAATATCTGAAAGAGTATGAATCGGTCACCGCCAGGCGTATTAACGCAGTTGCAACTTGCAACAATGACATGCTCGGTGGTAGTATTTCCAGGGTGTCAAAACATTTCTAAATATCGATTGTTATCTAAAATACCTCTCTAAAAACGGTGGTTGTTTACAAATAAGCGCTGTTTACAAATTGCGATATAAAAAAACCAAAATTCCGCCACTCGTCTATACGTATACATTCCGATCTACCTACGCCTTGCCCCTCGATCCGCGTAGATCCTGAATTGCGTAGCAGTGTACAGGGTGCATCTCACTCGACGGGCGAGAAGCTCTTAGTTATAATTTTACCATTTGCGTTCAAAAAATAGCAATATAAGAAAATGTGCAGTATATTCTTCATAAGTAAACCAACTACACACTAGAGTTCGAATTAATTTTACACTTAAACTAGCGTGTACCCGCGACTTCGTTCGCGTCGAATTAATAATTTATAATGGTGATGATAAAGCAAAGCAAGAATTTCTATTAACATACAAACTGGATAAAATTTTCTCACATTTGCCAAAAATAAGCTTTAAACGTCGAGCAGTTTAAGCAGAATCGTGGTTAATCAATTACTGAACTTTTTGGAACACCTTATATGATTTTTTAAAAAATTTCAAAATATGTAAAAAAACAAAATAAATTATGCGTGTCCAAGCGTTTTCCCAAAAGACTAACCGTTTTTTAAATAACAAATATTGTAATATTTGAGAGGCGTTTTCGCCCTCTTGGAATTTGAGATTCGAGAAATCCCTCCTTATCGAATCTCAACCCCACAGTCAATGCGTTTGCCAAAAATCAGCTTTAAACGTCAAGCAGTTTAAGCAGAATCGTGATTACTCAATGGTCATATTTTATGAAACACCCTGTATATATTTTTAAAAATCTTAAAATATGTAAAACAACATAATAAAATATACGTGTTTAAGAGTTTTTCCGAAAAACTTACCGGTTTTTAAATAAAAAATATTCTAATATTTGAGGGAGGGTTCGCCCCCTTAGAATATTCGAGTTACGAAAAATCCCTTCTTATTGAACCTCTACACCCTAAAGTCAATCCGTTTTCCAAAAATCAGCTTTTTACGTCAAGGGCTTTAAGGAGGATCGTGATTAATCAATGACCAGATTTTTCAAAACACCCTGTATACATTTTTAAAAAATCTTAAAATATTATTCTGAAAAATTTTCAGAATAAATAAATACCTAAATATTGAAACTTAATAACGTACTGAAACATGCAGCGCCATAATATCTCGACCTCCGCCCGTTATGCTCGTAACAGGTTGAAAAACAATGTATTTAAACAACTGATGCGTTATTCTACAACCTGTTTCGAACCTCCATCGACAATCGACCGATGCAGCAGCGTCCTTTCCCACTCCGATTATCTCGACCGCCGCCCTGTTATGCTCGTAACAGGTTGAAAAACAACGTATCTAAAATGACTACTTCTCCAACCCGTTGCGAGCCTCCATCGACAATCGACCGATGCAGCAGCGTTCCTTTCCCACTCCTATTATCTCGACCGCCAGGCGTTATGCCCGCAACTGTTTCAAATAACCTGCTTCTTTTATATCCTATTATTTTTAAGCTGTTGTAAGCCCAATACGACCGTCGACGGCATCGACCGAAGCAGCTACGTTCGCCGTAGCGCATTCCCCACTCCGCTGTCCGTTGTCTCGCCGCCTGTATCGATGGTTGACGAAATAACATGTTTTCCATCCATACTAGTTGTTTTTTGGAATCGCTTCGAGCAGCATAGAATTTCGTGGCGGTGCAGAGAGCCGACTTCGTTTTTCGTTTCACGAGCGGCCGATCTCTACGTGTCGTTATTTTATATCTGTTATTTTTTAGAAGTAATAACGGTTGCGTTATGTTACTTCTAAATAATTGTTATAAAATAACAGATAGTTAAATAACAACCCATCACTAGATACTACAAATTTCAAATTAAAATTTTATAAATCAAAGTTTATACATACGTCGGCCGTTGCCTTGAGGTATGTCACTACAAAAACTAAGCAAGTCCAGAGCACAAGCGCTTTGTAGTAAAGGATCCACCTGGATGTCTGCTTGAGATTCTTCGATCATATTCGCCACTTCCACTTTACATTCGGGCGTCTGAATACGACTGCTGAGCAATGCTTCCTTTAAGCATTCTTCTGTATCCCCCGTGTCTTCCTCTTCTTTCGTTTTACAGATCGTCGATAATTCGTTGGCACAAACAGTCCTACATTAAGACATATAAAGCTTTATCTTTCATGGTTTTAAATTTTATTTTAAAATGAAGTGTTTTTAAAATACTTGATTTTTAAGAAAAACACTCTTTCTTAATAGGTCTAGAAATGGGACGGTAAACATTTCTGAGACGCAGTGATGCCATTTCTACCGATTTCGCAGTGCATCTACCGAAAATACTACCTATATTTTCTACCGATTTTCATTCTTCGGAATATTTTAGTGTCACAGATATTAAAAAAGCATTTTATAATATAATTTGTATTTCTAATAAGTTATATTTTCTTGAAGCACAAATACAACGAATTTTGGAAAGTTTGGTTGTTTTTTTGAGGTTAACCCAGAGATAACCTCTTTACTTTTTACTAGTTTGCACTAATTTTTGTATAGATGTCCCTGGCAACCCTAATTATTCCATTATCGGAGGACCTCCCGATCTTTGAAAACTATAAAAAAGACTATTTTAGGAATAAAGGGATTAAAAAGTCTCAAATTGTTAAAAACGAGTTGTATTAGAAGTAGTATACTTAGTAAATTATCTACCGGGTGCGTCTTAAAAGTGGCTCACCCCTATAACTTTTTTATTTTTCAGATAAAAAAAAACAGATTTGATATGTTAGCATATGACATAAATTAGGATTGATTGACGTATTCAATTGTTTTCGGCCACTTCCTGTTTCACCGGAAATGACTACAACTTTTGATTTTTAAATAACACCCTCGGTATTTTTTTACTTTATTTGATAGAAAATGACATTCTGAATAGAATGACATATTATATGTCAACTTTTGACGTTGTCGCTTATATATCCGAAAACGACTTACTTTTAGCACGTCTTAATAAAAATAAGTGTTAAATATCCAGTTTACCGATTTCAACCGAATTCTGACCTATCGAAAATAAAATTTTGGTAATAGCAACACTGTTGAGACATGGGTAAATTTTGTTCATATCTTTTTAGTACTAGCTCGTGGGTCACCCCATGCCCCCGTCATGTTCTAATATTGTTAATAATTAAATGTTCGTCATGTCGAAATACACTTTAAAATCTACACTGCCTCATGTTTGAGTGTATTTTAAAAACATTTTTTTAGTTTGTTAGAGGTTTTCTGATTTTCAATGTTTATTTAATTTCCTGTTGCTGTAATTAGTAAACCTACAAAACATAATTATTACAGGTATAGTAGTTGTCACATTATTACGTTCTGAAGCCTTTTCTGGCTCTTCTGTAAACTTAGTAGAATAGCGCTTATCAAGTTATTCCCCTAGACCCTTCAATTACTTTTGTGTCAATGTAATGCTTGAAAAAATACAAATAGAATATAAATTGTCCACACAAATTAGAAAATCTAAATAAACCCGCGTAAAAATACAAATGGTTGCAAACTCGTGGGTCATTTAAAAAGCTCGCTTTAAAACTATGATCCGTGGATCAATGTCTGATCATAGGTTCGCCATCACTGGTCTAGAGATAATAACCATTAATTTCAATTGATTACCTACCTTATTAATGGATTCAAGTCAATATTTAATGCTTGTTCTTTGAGTATGGCAGACATTTCTATCTCACATTTATTCGTCAATCTAGATAACTTGAATTGTTCTTTTAGACATTTAATTACAACTCCGTTGGTCTCCTTATTACGGGAGGTCAGCAAACTCTTGCAAAACTTATTAATATCCAGATTGCAGCTCTGCTGCAATGAGGGGTTAAGTTGATAATTCGAATTTTGTTCCACTATCCTGTGCATAACTATAGATCTACACTTCTTGTCAAATCCTTTTTCGTCTTTGTTCTTCTGCAATATCAGACAAAAACAATTAATATGTACAAAAAAAACTTTAAAGATTTTAGTTTCAAACTAGTGTTTGACAAACAGATCGGAAATAACAGGTTAAAGGTAAAGCAAACACCATAGATAAATAAAACAAGTTTAGATTGGAAAGTGCCCATAAGGCCAATGTAAACATTATTTGGCGCTATTCTTGCAACGGTGGCGACCCAAAGCTTTTAATAATTTCGGATCGGTTCGGCTTTTTTCCGGAATTATGTCGCCAAATATTGTTTATTCAAATTTATTATTATTTTCTTTTAATTTTACAAATATAATACAGTGTGTCGCATACAAGAAACTTAATTTGATATAAGGACATTTATGTGAAATACCTATGAAACATTGGAAACCGGCATTATGCCACGATCCGCGATGGTTTTTACAGTTAACAGTTCACAACACAGTTTTTAATGCCACTTTTTCATAATTATCATGAGTTTGAATAAGTAAAATTTAAATTAAACTTACAAGATAGCAATAATTACTTTGAGAATGGACGCTTTAAAAAAAAACACTTTTCGGTATTTTTTCAATGAGGGTTTAAATTTTGAAAGATTTTATAATTTTTGAAGATTCTGACTTTGACAAGACAAAATTATTTCTGTTATTGTTTGGCGGTTGTTCTTAGCAACCGCTATAGCAGCGCCAGATCGCGTACAACGGTCGCGACCCAAAACAATTACATATATTCTGACGGGCTTTCCAATGTAAATTTATTTCCTTTATCTACGGAAACACAGTGTTCCAAAAACATGGCTGATTTCATTCATAAAATATCCGGAGACGTGCGGTGTTTTATGAAAATAATATTAAGAACTTCTATAATATTTTCCGGTAAACTTTATAATGTTTTACTTTAAATGTAGCTACATTTTGTAGTGTGATTTGCTAAAAATAGTAATATTTGTTAGAAAGCGTGTACTAATTGAAGGGTCCAGGAGAAAAACTTGATAAGTGCCAATTTCTTAATTTTAGGATTTTACAATATTATAGTAGGTTTAACTGGTCCCTACAAAATGTATAAATTCTGCAGGACAATAAGTTGATAATTGACAGAACCTGATAACCACCAGTCCGTCCAGCAGCGCTCTCCTGTAAAATTAGTAAAATAGCGCTTATCATGTTTTTTCCCTGAACACTTCAAATATAATATGCATAAATAAAGTTAAATGTATAAAATACAATACAATAACACCGCCACTGGATATTTCAATACTAGGCAACATTTCCACTATTTTGAAGTAGGAGCATAAAATTAGGGGTAGCACTGGCCAATAGGAAAACGTGCAAGAATCAATATCTATCAGATTGATTGGATGCCATGAGGAACTTTTCGGGCGTTGGTGGTTTATCCTGATGATATTGTTAGAAAATATTTTTTTAAAGGAAATCAGTTAGTTAAATAAATATACAGTCAATTAAATAAATATACATCTAACAACAAAAACTACGTTAAAATTGACTGCGTACAAAAATAAAGTGGCGTTAAATTTTAAAGTGGCCTTTATTTTAGAATTAATATATATGAATTATCCACTATACTTACTCGCAAACAATCAAAAACGTTTTCTTTGTCATAATGTTGGCAAAACTGGTCAATTGTTCCCGAGCATTTGGTTATAAGAGCATAATCCAAGGTGTTATCATAAACTTCTTGTTTCTTTACTCTAAAAACTTCCCTTTCGCAATCATCGGTAAGTTTGTTGCCTGCCAATTGCAAACATTCCAATACCTAAAAGATTTAAATTTCTCATATCACCATAAATTTCAATAACATTGGAATACATGTTTAGGAGGGGGTTAATCACCGCGACCTTACAGATCTATTGTGTGTATTGGAAAAAAAATATTGTGCATTGAAGTTTGACGATGAATATCTTTTAAACGGTTAATTTAATCCACTAATCATAAGAAATCATTTTTGTAGAGCAGTGAATTTCCTACAAAACTTACAAACTCATGGTTATTATTAAAATATCATTATGATACGTACGTATACGTTTTCTTAACGCGTTATAAAATTCATAGGAAAAAGAAAGCTGCCTTAAAATAATCAAACTTCAACCTTTAATAACTTTTAAACGGTGAGGTTTACAAAAAAATTGTAAAGACCTTTTTTGTAGAAAATTTAATTTCCTACAAAATAGAAAAAATCCTACAAATAAATAAAGGAGACGAGATATATTTTCCAAATAGACTCAGATGCAAAAAACGCAATGGAGAAATTTTTGGCCAAATTTAAAGTGTCGTATTATTGATATTTTTAGCCCAATTTTCATGAATTTTTTAGCAAGTTCTATATAATCAACTTTAATTCGTAAACTCAGTTTTTTATAAACTTTAGTATTTGGCATATTATATAGGATTAATCAAAGAGTTGTTTTTACCCAAACTTTAAAACACCCTGTGCAATAATTTCTTACGTCAAAACTTTTTTTTCTTACGTCAAAACTAACTGTCACACGGACGCGTGTCGTACACGGTCAAGTTGGCCTTGGTCCAATCGATCTACATACCAAATTCTATTTAAATCGAACGATTTTTTTATTTCATTCATTGATGATGAGGCTTCGTAGCGCACGAAACGCCGTCAAAATATCATGAAAAGATGGGGCTCTTCGAGACCTATCTGCATTCCGAGTTTCAGCCTCTTAGTTTACCCCGAGTTACGACGCTCCGTCTTAACCTCCTATCGTTACCACTTTTCCTGACGCGTCTCGTGTGTCACGGCCTTCAATTTTTACTCCCATCACGCGTATAGAAGTTTCACTTCAATACGATTTGGGCATCTTTTAAACGGCCAGGAGAAAACACGAAAAACAATAGACGATCAAATCAATTTCTTCCAAGGCATCTTGATTAAAAATTAGTGTTTTTAACACAGCCTTGACATTCCAAATGAAAATTTAAAATACGATTTTTTAAGCGAAAATGTCAAAAGTTGCCATATGTTACGCCATTCTATTCGGAGTGTATGGAATAAAATAAAAAATACCGAGGGTGCCATTTAAAAATCAACAGTTGTAGTAATTTCCGGTGAAAGAGGAAGTGGTCAAAAACAATTGAATGCGTCAATCAATCCTAATTTATGTCATATAATTTTTTATCAGAAAAAAAAAGTTATGGATGTGGTGAACCACTCTTGAGAAACAGCCGGTATATTATGATCTTGGCCCTAGACTAGAAAATAATACTTTCTCTATAAATAAATAAAATCAGAAAAAAATCAATCGCGGTTTACTACAAAATGCTTCAAGAGCCCACAAAATTACATTCGCAACAATATAAAAAATTGCAACTCCTAAAAATTGAAACTCGCAGATATAAGGTTATCACGGCCCTAGTTTACAAAATCACAATCGCAACAAAATCGCAAATCGCAACTATAATAATATTGGTTGCCTAAATTGAAACTTGCAAATATAAGAAATCGCAACTATAGTAATATTGGTTGCCTAAATTGAAACTTGCAAATAGAAGAAATCGCAATCGCAGTTTCCTATGACAACCAATTCGCAGGTTACAAATGCGAATTTAAAATGGCTGCGATTGAATCGCAGTTTACGATTTTTTGCTCATCTCTACTCTACACTAACCTGTGCATTCCCTGAGGTAACTTGGCTACAATATTTTTTAATATCCACTAAGCAGGCGTGTTTTAGCACGGGATCGTATTCGATATTTTCTCGCTGTTGAAACAACTGGGCTTTAAGTTGTTGCTTGCAGTCGCGAGGGATCTGACTTTTAATTCCGTTAACCGTGGCATTTAAAACTTGTTCGCTCAAGCATCGCACCACATCGTTTTTGGATTGAGCCTTCCCGCAAAATCTCATTGCATATGGTTTGCAAGCCGCCTTAAACTTATAAGAAAATCTGAAAATATATTAAAATTATTGTATTTGAATTGATCATACAATTATGGACACTGTACAGGGTGGGTCAAATTCGACGCTTTTAAATGGAAACACCCTTTTCTATAGGAGATAGACAAAAACTAATATCGGTGTCTGGAGCTCAATTTTTGCCAAAAACATGATGGTGAAAACCGCATATCGATATCTGTTACCGTTTTGGAGTTACGGGGTGTTTTTCAAAAATATGCATTTTTAACAAATCGCTGTAACCTGTAACTTTTTTGCTATGGAAAATTTTGTATTTTTATGAAAACATTTCCAAAGCACCTTTTTACGTAAAATTTAATGGTTTAAGTATAATTTTTTTAAAATTAATAATTTAAGAATTATCAACAGAAAATTTGATTTTTTATATGGAACACCCTGTATATTTTTAATTTATTGAAAAGAATTTAAAATTATCTTTCCAAAAATATAACACACTTGATATTTTGCTCGATTCCTCTTCGAGATATAGAGTATATAAAAATTCACCCGCTTTAAATAAGTAGGCTTTGAATGGGCCGGCTGTTATGCAAAAGTATTCTAGCTGTGAGCATCAATTAAAACGAAAATAATGTTTGCTATGAGAGATGCAGAATTTTATAATAATTTAAAATATATTTAACCAACATCAACACATTTAAACTATATCTAATAACAATAAAAATAAATAGCAAACCAAGACATGAGATTTTGCTACAGGTGTTCGACATGTCAACCGTCTTCTGTTATGGACAGACGGGGCAGTTTTTGAACATTTCTCGCGGAATTCATTAACTCAGTGGGGGTGAAAGATACCCTCTCATAACTGCTAAGTATTTCTAATTCTTGTCTAGATTATACGGAAGAATAAAGAACCTTTATTCTTCCTCAAATATATCCATAGGATGAGATCCATGGGCACTAAGTCAGGCGGCCTCGACGGCCAACGGCTGGGATCTTGGTTAAAATTTTCCATAGCAAAAAAGTTACAGCGATTTGTTAAAAATGCACATTTTTGAAAAACACCCCGTAACTCCGAAACGGTAAAAAAAGCGTCGAATTTGACCCACCCTGTACAGGGTGGGCCATTTTCGTGTATTTTGTAGAGTTTCCCCATTGGAGGTCCTTCTTAAATGGTTTTTAATTTTTCTGAATACACTATAGAACTGAAGGATGATTGCAAAATTATTTCTATTCTACAGCCGCATTCAGAATCGGTCATCGCGACGCGAGACAATATTTTTTATTTTATACTGCCAACGAGATGTGTTTAAAAAACCGCATCACCCACCGACTTAAACTGCGAACGGGAGACGTAATCGCGGCCGGAAAGCTCGCTGACTCAGGCTTGGGTTCGGCGACATTTACTGTCCTCCATTCACGCAGTTGTGCAGCTCTGAACTATTCAAGAACGCGATTCTCCACTCCATTCAATTGAGTCATAAAGTTCAGAACTGTTTTAGAACTGTTCCGCGCCATATGGAAGCACCAGGCTATCGCGCACAGCTCCTTTCAGAACTGTCCTCGAGTAGCCCAGGGCGTAAAGCTCTGGAACTTCAAATTCGCGAATGGAGGACAGCAATTCAAGATCTAAAGGTACATTCAGGCTAAGAGCGTCGCGTTTGCGTCGCGTCCGCGTGTCGAAATGGAATCAATTCATTTAACTTAAATTAGACCGTTCAGGCAGACAGCGTCGTGTATGGCGTTGCGCTAGCGTCCGCTGAGCGTCGGGGTTCGAGTTCAATGGGGCGGACGCGACGCAAACGCGACTCGACGCTCGATGCTCTCAGCCTGAATGTACCTTAACGGGGACAGTCGAGCTGTCGAGATATTTTTATTTTTAGCGTTTAGCGTAGGTCTTAGCTAGGGTTTCCGGAACCGGAGGTATTTTGCGGAACCGGGAATCTCGGTACCGCGCCTCTTAGGAACCGGGATTTCCCGGTTTTTTCGGTACTGACTAATTTTTGTTCAATGGTGGTGCAGTTCATCAATAAGAAAGCAAGAGATGGTTTTTCAAAGTAAAATGATTAAAAAAATGAGATTTTTAATGAAAATAATGTCAAATTATTAAGTAATCAGTCATGAGAAAATTAACATGAACACAAGTAAAGAAAGAAGTATAGGTAACTTAAATTTCACATCAAACAACATAAATCAACTTAACTGAATTTGAGACAAAAGTCTCCTAAAATATTGAATTAGAAATGCAAATATCTATTCGTCAATCAACAAGCAAGGGATGGTTCTCAAAAGTAAAACCGATAAAAAATTGAGTTTCAAATGAAAATAATATCAAATTATTAAGTCATGAACACAACAACCAAACCAAACACATATGCAGGTAGCTTAAAAATTACATCAAACAATATCAACCAACCTCGAAACCAACTTAACTAAATTTGAAAAAAAAAATTACATTTTCAATTAAGGCGCATTCTCACGACTGGTGTAGTTGACAAACATTTGTTAAGGCGGACTCTCACGACTGGTCTACTTGGCAAGTCCGCCAATATTTGCGTACTTGGCAAGTATCCCCACCAGTCCCCACTTTGTAAACAACATCGGCCGGCGCTCACACGACGTGTCCATTTCAACAAGTACGCTAACACAAACATTGTTTTAATCCTTGGCAAGTAAACAGTATAGTCGCATCGATGGATACCGGTCGTCCCGAAATTGTCGTTGCTCGTGATTCTTTTTTAAGTTCTTTTACTGTACACTGCAATACGATTTCTATGTTCTTTATGTTTAGCCATCCATATGAAGGGCTCATTTTCGTATAAATCCATAAATTCCAAAACAACATCATTTGAAGACTACACGGGAAAACCCAGTTTTGTCCATTTTAATTGGAGCTGAGAAAAATGCAATTTAGTGTTTTTAAAGAAATATGTTATTTTCGGTTGAATAATTAAAAAAATATATATTACTACCAATTCTGAATTATTAATATTGTGAATTATCGCCATATTCTGAAATACCGAAATAAAAATGTCAAAATGCAAAACAAAACAGGGGAAAACCAGGGATGTCCAATTAAAGGTTGTATAAAACCTAAATCTAAACTACAATTTTTTTGTTGTAGGAAGAAAATTAATATTTAAGTAAGTTTTTATTACAATACATAAATTTATAACATATAATACTAATTGCAAGATGCCTGCTTGTCGCCCATGCGTAACTACATCTCTGGTTTTTGCCATTTACGCGTGGACTACTCTGGTTTTTCCTTTGTACCATAACCAAGCTGTAATATCTCTGGGACTAAGCCTATTATTTCTTTCTTTTTTTCTCGAATTACGTTAACATTTGTCTATAAAGTTGTATCGCTATCTTAATTTCTATGAAAATGTTACATATCTGGTTTTTCCCGTGTAGTCTTCATTTGTCCACTCCATTTATTGCTGTGAGAACGATTTAGGTATGTCGCCAATATTGAATTTATTAATATAAACTTGATATTATATAATCTATTATTGTTTTAACGTTTTAAATTATCCACAATTAACTCGAAAAACACTACGAATCGGAAATAAACGGGACATACTCTATAACAGAACAATTATTCGTGCAGTCGTTTTTTTGCGCCTTGGCAAATATAGACAAGGCCGGCCAAGTACACTTGGCAAGTGTACGAATAATCGTGTGATCCTTTAACTCGGGCTATATTTACCGACAGAGAGTGGGGACGCGACGAGTGACCAAGGAAACCGTTCTCACGACATGGCGAGTATATTCCAATAACAAATGTTTGTCAAGTACACGACTCGTGAGAATGCGCCTTTATACTAAATAATAAAATAACATATTAAACTTCAATAATTGCTAATAGTCTAAGAGCTAGCAACGTTTTCGAGAAAGTATTTTAAGACGTCTGGCTCTTTGATATATCTTTTACTATGCTCTCTGGAACAGCATGCGGCCGGTCTGGCTGCCGATACCCGTTGCGTTCACTACTGCGCATCGGAAGAAGATCCTAAATTTTTTTATTTATTATTAATTTAGTCCTATAAATTGTAGTATTGAATATAAATCGAACATGTCTCCATAGCGCAGTGCGTAGAATTTCCGACCACGAACCGATGATTCACAGTTCGAATCCGGGTAAGGGCAAAGACTTTTTTATTTTATTTTCGTTTATATTCTGATAGTAAAGTATTAAATAATTCTGGTAATTTAAAAAAAAACAAATATTTAATACTTTACTATCAGAATATAAACGAAAATAAAATAAAAAAGTCTTTGCCCTGGCCCGGATTCGAACTATGAATCATCGGTTCGTGGTCGGAAACTCTACGCACTGCGCTATGGAGACATGTTCGATTTATATTCAATACTAGAATTTAAACGACTAATAAAAATATAGGATCTTCTTTCAATGCGCAGTAGGGAACGCAACGTTTACCGGCAGCCAGACGGGCCGCATGTTATTCTAGAGAGCAAAGTAAAAGATATATCAAAGAGCCAGACGTCTTAAAATACTTGTTTTTCCGACGTTGCTAGCTCTCGTACTATAATAAACATTAAAGAAACTTCAAAATAACTTCAGAAGTAAGAACAATAAAACATAGCATCGCTACTTATTTAGGAGAGTTTGATTTCGACCGCTAGAAAGTATCAAAAGTCTTCCGCACGTAACAAAATATATGTTTTTAATTATTATTACCGAGTCCCGAAAGAACCGAGAATTAATAATTTCGAGTCCCGGTTCTTTGACGTCTCAAAAGAACCCGGAAATCCCGGTTCTGAACCCTAGTCTTAGCGTTATCTATAAAGGTCGAATATACACATTAAATAACTGAAATTGAATTTAATTATTTGAAAAAATTTACTGAGAATTTTAATTTAATCGGAGATATCAGTGACTTCTTTAAATAAAAAGATATTACAATATTTTGAAGGGATACGACGGACCCGCATCAATGGAAGCTTTGCCGCTGGTGTGTAACATCTTAAAAAATAACACAGTAATGTAAAAACTGCATCTACCTTTACTTATAAACGAGAAACCCTGCAAAACACACGAAAATGGGACACCTTGTACATTCCTACTATTAATTTACCTATAATCCTTCAGTGAAATAATTTGAAAATGTTCAATACTAGCTCGACACGCTGGATTTCCCCTGACAACAGGATCATTCTTATGGGATATCAAACACTCCATAACATCTCCTTCATCGTTCCTTGCCTCCTGGTTACATACAGTGTCAATAATCTTCGAACAAAATTTACTTATATAGGGATTAGTGTCCGCGTGTTCAGCTTGGTACTCCGTAAACATTCTAATCTTTTTCTGGCAGTCTTCATCCAAATTGCTGTAATTATCTTGAAGACACTGCATCTCCTCGCCCTTCTTCACTTTGTCGTGACAGAACGTGCCCAGATCTGTCAAACAGGATTCCTCAATCGTCGGTTCTAAATCCACGCTCACCGCCCGCTGTCGCATTATTCTTCTAACGTTTTGCAGACACGACTTTTCCAAGCGCATATCCTTATCGTCAGGATCAATATATCTGAAAATCGAATATCGCCTGTTTAGGCCAGTAAGCGAGGGTTTTAGGGTCCGAATTCTGAACACCTGCACCGATTGACGTGAAATTTTAACAACGAATAAAGATATACCGGGTGCGTCTCAAAAGTGGCTCACCCCCTATAACTTTTTTATTTTTTCAGATAAAACAACGAGATTTGATATGTTAGTACATGACATAAATTGGGATTGATTGACATATTTAATTGTTTTTGGTCACCTCCGGTTTCACCGGAAATGACTACAACTTTTGATTTTTAAATGGCACCCTCGGTATTTTTTTACTTTATTCGATAGAAAATGACACTCTAAATAGAATAACATATTGTATGTCAACTTTTGACATTTTAGCATATCGTTTTATTTGAAATTATAACATGCGGTTCATAACGACAATTTGACTCGAAATATCAAGTGTGTGGTATCGAATTATTCGTAAAAAAATGCTTTTTCCAAATATACTAATGGGCCACCCCCGTTCCATTTGAAAAAATTGAGATATGATTAAAAATACAATTTAAGCATCTTTGAACCGATCAGGACGAATGAAATCTATTTTTCCAAGGCTCCTTGATTAAAAATTAGTGTTTTTAACACGGCCATGGCACTCTGGATTGAAATTTAAAATACAATTTGTTTTTGAATGAATATGCCAAAAGTTGACATATGATATGTCATTCGAATCAGAGTGTCATTTTCTATCGAATAAAGTAAAAAAATACCGAGGGTGCCATTTAAAAATCAAAAGTTGTAGTCATTTCCGATGAAACAGGAAGTGACTGAAAACAATTGAATACGTCAATCAATCTTAATTTATGTCATATACTAACATACCAAATCTCGTTTTTCTATCTGAAAAAATAAAAAAGTTATAAGGGTGAGCCACTTTTGCGACGCACCCGGTATATAAGAAACAAAAGTTACACAGTAGCGATGTGTGCTTTCACCCTGGGAGTGAGTACAACCCCTTCTCGGTGGTGAAAAATAAATCACCCCTTTTAATGGCAATAATCAATAAAGGGATGAATTCTAAGCAAAAAATGTTTTATAACATTGTTTCGATGGTGGTTAACTGTTATGTTCCTAGTTATTGTCAAGAATTACAATGAAGATGCTCAAATCAATTCCCTAAATATCAGTCGTTTTTTTAATCGTACGATCCTGGGTGTCTGAAATTAGTGATGATAGTGTTATAGGATCTTGAACAAATTGCATATGTAAACGTTTTTATATCCAGTTTTTGAGACCCTAATACTGCCATCTCCAGTTTCAGACACATTATAAAAATAAATAATAATCAAACAAGTAACTAAAATGGTTTAATTTGAATTCCCGCCTGTTTTGTAATACTTCTTTACTAAGGACACCAGACGGCGCTACGGGCAGCTTAATCTTGGAAATATACTGTCAGTTGCCTATCTATTTCAGTATATACCGGGTGCGTCTCAAAAGTGGCTCACCCCTATAACTTTTTTATTTTTTTTAGATAAAAACACGAGATTTGGTATGTTAGTATATGACATAAATTAGGATTGATTGACGTATTCAATTCTTTTCAGCCATTTCCTGTTTCACCGAAAATGACTACAACTTTTAATTTGCAAAGGGCATCCTTGGTATTTTTTTACTTTATTTTTTTATTGAATAGAAAATGACACTTTGAATAGAATGACATATCATATGTCACCTTTTGACATATTCTCTTAAAACAAAATTCTATTTTAAATTTCAATCTAGAGTGCCATGGCTATGTTAAAAACACTAATTATTAATCAAGAGTCTTGGAAAAATAGGTTTAATCATCTAATGTTTTTAGTGTGTTGTCCTGGCCAGTTAGAAAATGCTGAAATCGTATTTTTAATCATATCTCAATTTTTAGGGGAACGGGAGTGGCTCATTATTCATTAGCATATTTCGAAAAAACATTTTTTTTACAAATAATTTGATACCAGACATTGTAGTCATTTCCGGTGAAACAGAAAGTGACCAAAAACAATTGAAGACGTCAATCAATCTTAATTTATGTCATATACTAACATACCAAATATCGTTCTGTAATCTGAAAAAATAAAAAGTTATAGGGGTGAGCCATTTTTGAGATGCACCCAATATATATTTTTTACCTATGGGCATACTACTATATTTTTATTATTTTTTGTATTACGGGATTAACATAATAAACAACTTTTAACACATTTGTTGCCGTGTGGGACAAACTGTATATAAATAAGAGATTTTTTATTCATTGTTAATAATTAATATAATAATTATTTACTAAATAGACTTATATATAATATAAATTATTAAATGTTTCACGACTATTATTGAACTCCATAGCCAAGTACAATTAGTTTATTAAATTTAAAATAAATTAATGTTGGCGTAAATAGCTAAATATTTCTTCGATATTGTTGTATTCCGTCTTGAATTCAAGATATTTAAAAACTGTAAATAGTTGTTATATAATAAAAACAAAGAAAAAGGTAACTCCGCGGAAAACGTTTGTTTTTTTAGACAAATCTAATCTCACGGGCAGATCCGCGGACTTGGCCTGTAACAGGCTTAGTCCGCCAAAGACTTGGTCTGGCCCACAAACGCAAAGATTTCATCCAAAAGCCAGATCTTCTGGTGTATGGGGGGCTATTCATTCTAATAAATCAGTCCATGTAGATACACTTTTAAAAAGTTTGTATTAAGCAAATTTCAGTAGTAATTTCTGTGTGACTCAATAGTAACTCTATTTAGAAAAATATTTTTATTTATCTAAATAGTATAAAGCTACCATACTGATTGGGGATCAAACCTGGTATCTCGCGCAGCAGGTAGAAACACCACTGTGCCAAGGGCACCACCTGATCTTTACAATATAAAAAATATTAATTTTTTTACATTATAAAAAAGTTACCTGTATAAACAAGACAAGACATCAGGCCCGTAATTTGAATCTACTTCATTTTCCCAATTAGTAGTAACCTTACATAACCTCGATGCATCAGATCTGCAAGCTTTATATAATTGTGGGTCCAACTCAAATCTTCTCGAGATAAAATATTGAATCTGAATAAGAGCATCTTCACAATCCTCTTTCATGTGATCTGAACCTATAATTTTTTATATTATCAAATGTTGTCCATTTTATGAAATGTTGAATATTTAATCTACATATAAAAATATATATTATGTACCTATATTATCCATTAAACAATTCATTACTCTAGCTTCACCACTGTTAATATCTTTACAAACAGTGGAAACCACTGGTGCACAGGCATTATGTAAGATTGGATCCACTTTCCAATTTTCTCCAACATCGGATCTTTTTACTAATGATTCTAGCTATGATTACAAAATATAATTAAGTGTTTGCTAATAAAAAACAGTAGTAGCAACTTACAGCAAGTTTACATTTTTTATCAAAGTTACCTCCCCTAGACCTTTCGTCCTTTTGTCTAGCATACTTCATTAAGCAATGAATTGTAACACCACCAGTCTCCAAACCATTACAGTACACTGCAATTTCCCTCTTACAATCATCAACAATCTCTGGTGATAATCTGTAATCTTCCATTAACATTCTACGGTGCTCGACTAATTCTGCCTCACAGTCAGATGAAATTTTACTGCCATTTCTAGCAATATTTTCAAGACATAAAAGAATCTGTGCTAAACGTATAGTTCTATCACTTGATGTTTGTTTGCGGCAATGAGATTTTTTAATATCCTCTCGGCAAGACCTCATGAGACCTTTACTTACTCTGTAATCTTGAGAAATCAGTGTTTCCCTTCTAATTAAACTTTCTTTGCATTTTTTACTCAGTCTCTGAGGATCTTGTCTGGCAAGGCAATGGAATACTTGTCCACTACCTGCAGGAAATTGTGGGCAATACCTCGAGTAATCTTCTCTACAATCTAGATACAACTGTTGATCAAGTTTTATATTATCAGACTGCAGCTCTGAAAGTCGGAAAACTTCTCGTTTACAATTATCAGATACTCGTAAAATATTACTTTGTAAACAAGCTATAGTATTAATTTGTGATATTCCTTGAGAAGTAATACTACCACATTTAAGTTCTTCAACATCTTTCTCGCATTCTTTTAAAAATGTTGCCAAAAATTTATAATCGGTAAATGCAACATTCTCAATTCTTCTAATAATATCTTGACAATTTGAATTTACAATATTTTCTTTGGCATTTGCCAAACATTTAAAGTAACCTTCATCTCCTTTATTACAATTCAAACTATCCATATCACTCTTACAAACCAATAATCTACTATCATCTTTAATAAGATTGTTTGTGTGCTCCCAGATTATATGTTGGCATTCGGTCTCTAGAGAAGCTAAGTCATTTGGATGTAAAGAATGGAGACATTCCAAAATTGGCAAATCATCATTTTGTGTAACCTGTTCGCAAAATCTTTTGGCATTTCTACAGCTTGGTTCGTCAAATATTGTTTTTCTGGACCCTCGTTTAAGTCTCAATTGTAAATCATTTGGTACTTCACAAATCACTTGAATATAAACATTCATAAAACACAATAAAATAAAAAAGATGGTCATGACTTTGTCTGGTAGTTACTTTACAATCCTCCAATACACTTAAACATTAAATAGTTTTTTATAGCATTACAAGAGCTTCGAACCGGAATTTGTTATTTGAAAATGAAGGAAGTACAAGTTATGACGGCAAACATTTGTCAAAGTCAATGTCAAAGTAATTTTAGATGTCAAAATTGACGTACTTATTTTCAAATGACATTTAGAGCAAACTTCTCTACATTCCATTTCTAGCCACAGAATAACATACCATCTACTTCAATATCTGTCCAATATGACGGCATTAGTTCAAAAGAACTATTCAGTCAAAGAGTAACTTATCTTATCTACTCTTTGATTCAGTTCTAGAAGTCAAATAGGTATGATATTGTATTTTGTATCATGATCATGTATCATGATATTCATCATCATCATCATCACGCAGCCCCCTTTCACGTCCATAGTTGAACATAGGGAATAAAGAACTTGAGGTGAGGAAAAACGCGATTTTTTGTAAAATAAGCGAGAAAAATTTTCTAACCTCAAAAATATTTTCATAGCTTTTCGTGCAATAGTTTTTAAGAAAATCAATGAATATATAAAATATATATAAAATACCAAAAAAACACCAGAGACTAACCAACGCGATCAAAATACGCCTACGGCGTATTTTGATCGCCGTTACCAACAACTCTAAATAAATAAAAAATGTACAAGGGTAGCGTAAATTTAAAAGCGTCCATGTTCCCGGTATGAGCATGCGCGTTAGAGCAACAAGACGCCATCCGTCAATCGGAACGTAAATATTAGAGTTTTGTATTTTTTTCTTTTCATAATAAAACCAAAAAATAATTTATTCACATATATTTATTTGAAATATGGAACAACGTGACTAAATAAATATAAAAATATAGAGGATTGTATTGTTTCAATACCAATTAGTTAATTATATGCACTTTTAACGTAAATTAGTTAAGGTATAAGCATGACTTACAGTAATTTGTAAATAAACACACGCATTCGCAAACTTCAAGGACAGAAAACGGACACAGGAACATGAAAACGGGAGCCTTATACAAAAACCTGAAAACAGAAAAACAATTTTTTTATACAAAAATTAACAATGTAAAAATATCAATAGGTATAAAATATAAATAAACTGTTTAAAAAAAGCGTCCATTATTCCCAAAGAACCTGGCTTATAAATCAAAAAGATGCAAAAAGAGACTTTTAGTCGGATAACATAATCAGATTATCAGTCCGATTTATTGCTTTATTGACAATAAATCGCACATACTGGAGATAACTAATGTTGGCTATAGTTAAAAATGATCTTACCTTGCTGTAAATTGTTTCCATTTTCAAAAAAATCGCCGATCAAAGAGATTATAACACCATTTTCTTGCATCTAAAAAATGTAAAAACAGTGTTTATTTACTACCTATTTTTGATATACATGGGACATACCTACTACTGCAGAAACGTCATTTTCTCCAGGATTCTTCATGTAATTTATATTTTATATACTTTATTACCTTTATATTTATAAATTTCAGCCGAAATATTAAATTGAACTTCCAAAACGAAACTAAACGGAATGAATTAAAATGGCGTCGAATATTTTCGAATTTGTTCTAGAACAAATCTGAAGTTGCCTCTGAAACTGAAATCTGTCAACTAAAAAGTCTTAAAAATAAACAATTCTTAACCATAACCCCAAAAAATGCAGATCTCCTGTCAACTTTCTTTATTTTTTATTTATTCATTATTTTCCTAGTGACGTCACAGGTGGTATGCGCGAACTGAACGAAATTGGAGCCGCTATCGATCATACCTTGTATTCTTTGTACCATGATATTGTATGATATAAAAGTTGTGGATTAAAATAATTCATTCTCTGTGCAGTTTTTTTTCTTATAAATGACCAGTTCCAGGTTCCAATTAAAAACATTTTTAATACGAGAACGTCTATTTTATTTACATTTCTAAAATTCAAAGATTTGTTGTACTACAAAATCTCAGTACAAATTTTATATTTTATATAGTTAAAAACAACTAATAAGAGTAATTTAGAGAGAAAGAAAAAAGAATCAATTTTCCTTATATTTCTCGGTTTTAAGGTTTTTTTTAATATACAGATAAAAGAATTGTTTTTAACAATTTTGAATTTTAACTATAAAATCTATAATACTTTATTCCCAGCTACAGATATTAAAACTAGATAAATATAAACTTAACTAGCATTACTATTTTTAAAATGATCCCTAAGTTTGTCAAGTGCTTTAAATCTATGTGAAATCTTGTTTTTCTCTTCTTTAGGCATTTCTGCATAGGTGGTATTAAATCCTAATGGTTCAAAGCACGGATCCCATCCAAAATCACGAGGACCCCTTGGACTAACAATTGTACCTTGTGTTCGACCTTGAAATAGAATAACTTCTGCATTCTCTTGACCCGAATAGTATCCAAAAGTACATACTGCTTCTGCAGTTTTATCATCAAATCCTGCTAACATTGTATAGAGACCATCTGCACCCAGTTTTTCTAAAAACCATTTTATATAAGGTCCAGGTAAACCCTTAAGTGCGTTAAAACACAAACAAGTATCTTCCACTAAAACAGGTCCTTTAATTTGTTCATATGCAGTTTTAACTTTCTTCATACAAATATCATCTATTTCGCCTTGCAACTCTGGCAAATCTAATTTTTCACTAATTATTTTTCTAGGAAATGAATTACCCAATATGGCTACCAATTCTTCTAGTTTTTTACTATTTCCAGTCACAAACGTAATAGATTTTGCCATTATATAAATAATTATTTGAACTTAAACTAAATTTAAATCTGTGATAAATTTGAAAAAAGGTACAGAATGGTTCTTCTTCTTTTTCTATTAATTGGTCTTCTTTTACTAAAACACAAGGCTAAAACTATGCAGCCATATACATTACAGCAAGGTCTCCAGAAGCCAGATACAACTAAAATTAATATGATCATATGTATAAAAATGTTTATAGTTTATATTTAACCACAGATGAAGTCCCTTTGTGTAATATTTTGAGATAGATGTCAAAGTCAGCTGGCGCCTCAATTGTATTCATTTGTAGTATTTGTGTACAATTCTTGTATACCACAGTTGTATACAACATCAAGTTTTTATGGCGTATTGTATTGTTTGTAATTGTGTAGAAAAATGGAAATTACTTTTAATTAGTTATGCATAAATGACTCATGTGAATGAAAATCCGCTCTCATTTAAACATCCTTAATGTAATACTATGATTTGACTTTATAACTTCAATATTAATGAAATATTTATAAAAATGGGCCAAGGTAAGAGTCAACTTACTAATGAGGAGTTACAAGATTACCAGGACCTTACATACTTTACCAAAAAAGAAGTACTATTGTAAGCATAATTATTCAGTGTATAAAATTAAATATAATTGCTTATAATTTATTTTGTAGTGCTCATCAAAAATTTAAAGCTCTAGCACCGGAAAAAGTTGGACACAATAAAAATGCCAAACTGCCAATGTCCAAGATTTTATTATATCCAGAGTTGAGTGTTAATCCTTTTGGAGAGAGAATTTGTAAAATATTCAGTTCTAGTCAGGATGGAGATTGTACATTTGAAGATTTCTTAGACATGATGTCTGTTTTTTCTGAGGCAGCCCCAAAATCTGTCAAAGCAGAACATGCATTTAGAATATTTGGTAAGCTAGCGTTGGTTAAGCTTGGGAATAAACAAAGAATACATTTATTTTCTTAGACTTTGATGGGGATGATATGCTTGGAGTATCCGATTTAAAGCAGGTGGTCAACAAATTAATAGGAGAGAACAAATTGAGTGAGACTGATTTACAAATGTTGGTCCAGAATATTTTGGAGGAAGCCGACTTGGACGATGATGGAGCACTATCTTTTGCAGAATTTGAGCATATTATTGACCGGTCTTCTGATTTTTTAAAGTAAGCAGAGTTTTTGTTAAGAAAAAAGTAACATTTTATTTAATTATGTTTTTATTTTTAGCTCATTTTGTATAAGATTATAAAATAGTAACACTACAGATATGATGGAAAAAGATCTTTGAAATATGAATACTCAACATTCTTAAGAAATTTTTGTAACTTTTCAGGTATACTGCCATCTCTCTTATATACTATTTAATCTCAATAATAGTTGTTAGTGTAAGTTACATACAAGATCTCTACTTTATTTTAATGTTAGGTATTTTATATTCCTAATTTGCACAATTTTGAAAGAATGTATATTATGTATGGTATTTTAAAAGAAAGTAATAAAATATATGCTTAATCCACTTATTTCACTTTTCCTGCTGATTTAATTTTGCAGATATCCTGGCAATTTCATTCTCATAAATACCCAAGTGGTGAAGAAAGATACCAAAATGCAAATAAACCCGATTGCTGTCATTAGGTACTTGTTTAACTTTGGCATTGTAGGGCTATGTACATTATCTAAAATAATAAACCCCAAACCGCCTATAGAAAAAAGAAAACTTGAAGCTAATCCTTCCATTATATATTGACCATTAACCCTATATGGCATAAACGCGACCTACAAAATAAAATCCTATTTAGTATTTAATAAGCACTCAGCTTGTATGTTGTATCGCTCAATCTTACTGGTCTAGTATGTCCGTGTTCATCTGTTGTTGAGCCAACACTTGGGGGCTCAACAATAACATCATAAATAATTCCTAAAATAAAGGAACAAATATATTTAATTCTTTTATATAAAAATTATAGTGAAACTTACCTCCTGTTACCAGAAAATAGGAAAATAAAACTAAGGAAAACACAAGCATTGGTGATGGTTGTTTAAACCAAGACGGTTTCTTTAACTTTATATGAGGTACTTCCAAAACAGCGAATGGAAAAGTAAAAAACTGTTCCATCTTGATTAGTATTTACCTATAAGTACGAATGAAGAGAACATATACTTTAATTCAAAAATATGTAAAATTTATGGAACCGCGTCTACGTCTACAAAAATAACAATCAATACATAACCACAAATTATTAATTATTAGACCAGAATCGCTGTCAGTGTCATCTTGCTAGTTAATCAGCTGTTAAATTTTGAAAACATACATTTAAAAATTAAATAAAGTATATTTTTATCTTTATGTAACTCAAGATAAATATATTGGTTTGAAACAGATAAACTATAGTCAGCTATAGTTCAATCGACGGTGTGTTTTAAACTCCACGTTGTGATTTCTCTAGTTGGCTCCTTATAGATTTTATCCTCAAAAGGAAGAAAATAATGAAAACAGATTTAAAATTGTAATTCTCAAAAACTACAAATATGGTCAAAAGCCAACCACCTTTTAGACTACGGCAAAATGCTTCTCAAAACCTTCAAAAGAATCATAAAAAGGACTTGGCTAAGAAAACAACTAAAATTCAACCTGTGTAAGTTTGTACCGCGTAGCTTCTATTAAATACTTCAGACTTCAGATACATTTTGTTTTAGAAAAACTGAAAAAAAATCAACAGAAAACGTTATAAATAATCTGATGTTTCCTGGGGGAGAAACTGCTTTTAAAGCTCTAATGTCAGCACGATTTTGTGCAGCAATTTGGTCACATATTACAGATTGTGATGAGACTTTTAACTATTGGGAACCAACTCATTATCTTGGTAGATTTATAATCCCCAAACTCATGTAATGGCTTTGTATATTGTAATATTTGGTTTTAGTTTTTGGAAAAGGTTTACAGACATGGGAATATAGTCCACAATTTGCTTTAAGGTCATATTTTTATTTAATGATTCACGCTACACCAATTTGGATATACCATAAATTATTACAGCCAAATCCATTACTCATGTTTTATTTTTCCAGATGTATTCTTGGCTTATGTTTTGCTTTTGCAGAAGTATATTTTTACAAGTAAGTGCATTATAGATTTTCTTAGCTTTTTATTGTACCGGATAACCCAACCCACTGTTCCAAAAAAGATCTATGTATCAGGCAAATATTTCAGACTTTCATCTCAATCTTTTAATATTAAATTTTCTCTTAAAATATGTGGGCAATGATAGCACATATTTTCAAAAAATGTTTATACTTAAGTACCTTTGAATATAGTATGTACTGATATACAGTGTTGTTCAATTATTCTATTTTTACACCAAAATTTTAGTTTTTAAATAGAACACCTACTGTGTTTACTAAACACAGTAGGTTTTCCCTAACACTGTTTAGTTTTCCTGAGTAGATTTGTAATCAAATTCCTATTTCAAAAATACCACAGTATCTGCAGTATCATACTATATATGGGTATATTATTAACAATTAGCACCATCTTAAACTTACTGTCATGATATAATTAATATTTTTGGTTCTAGATCTATATGTAAAGAATTTGGTGTCCATATTGGGAGGATATGTTTAGCATTCCAACTTTTTTCACCAGGAATGTTTATTTCTAGTACGGCCTTTTTACCTTCTAGTTTTGCAATGTATAATTTCACTGCTGCTTGCGCCGCCTGGTGGCAACAAAGATATTCTCTAGCCATACTTTTTACAGCTTTAGGTTCATTATTAGGTGGGTATTTAAATATACAAACTCAAGAACAGTTAACCTATTATTAGTCAGGGGCGTAGATAGGTGTATGCTATGGGGGTGGTACTATGATTAAGTCGCAAAAAAAATCACCGTCGGAATTTTTTTGTCGAATTAAAACGACGGTGATTTTTTTGTCTTCAAAAAGATATAAAAACATAACACAAAAATTAAAATATAGATTTGTAAATAACATAAACAAAAATGAAACAACGACGTTTATTAGTTAATTTTCTATAAACTATAAAAAAAAAACTCTAAACTATCAAAAAAAACTATAAAAACTATAAACTATAAATAAAACTACAAAACAAAATCAAGTTTTCTAGTACGCTGTTTGGAAAACCTATCAATAACAGCATCATTTACTACCGTTGGCGTACGCTGACTGCGCCGCTGCGTTAGAAAACAAAATAATTTTGACCGTTGCCGTTGGAGTATACTGCAAACGCCTTGGTTGGGCGATTTCTACATCGCCTGTTAAAGTCGATGCACGACGTACGGCAGTCTTCTATTTCTGTCTAACTCATCGTACGGTAGCGACGCGACGTAAGTCTGAGTTGTATCCTTGTTTATATATTCTTAAAGTTGTTCAACCGACTAGACAAAATGTGCTGTCAACTGGAGGACAAATAGTGAACCTTTCGGGGCGGAGTCAGAAATATCGATTATTTTCGTTATTTTCCTCAGAGTAATGTAATAATATAGCCCGGGCTTCGGCGAACTTTAATAATGATCAGCTGATTAAGAAATTTAAACGAAACTTTTATTTTATTGTAAATTGTGGATTATTTTTGCCTGTTATTTTAAGAATTCTAAACCGTATTAACAAAGAAATTATTATTTCGATATGTTGGTACATTATTTATAACTTATGATAATGCTAATTGCTGTTAATTAATATTAAAAAAAAGTTACATACCTATTTTAATTTGATTTAATGCAGGTTTATAAAAGAATCATTTCATTCTTAGATTATTTTATTCTAAATTGAGTGCTTTACGAATTTTACGATATTTTTTTTTTGAAAACATAAAACTTTTTACATTTTTGATGCCAACTAATTGGCATGGTATTATTGGTATGGGAATTAGCCAAGAAAGAAAAGAATTGGCTATAACTTGTAATTTTTCGAAAAAAAAACATATTATACCTATATCGCTGAAAAGCTTAATGAATGGCGCTTTTTATGAAGTCATGGCCAACTAGGATTTCCATTTAAAAAAAAACATAATGTTTATGTCATATGTCAAAAATTACAGGCTTTAGAAAAAAAAAACAGAAAACACAAACTCATTAGGTATGTGATTATCTACAACTTTTATCTGAAAACTTTTTGTCTAAAATACCATATGATCGAATAAAAACGGCGTCAGCGATGAATATGAAATGACGATCGATGATAATATCCATATAATTTTGCATATAAAATGACAACGATCTTCATTTCATAGCCATCGTTGACGCCGTTTTTATTCGATCATAGGGTAGATTATAATGGAATTAGAGACAAGTTTTAAAATAGCCAAAATTTGTGTTTTTTGAAATATATAGTAAGCCTTGAACTTCTCGGAAAAATCCGAAAGGCGCATATTTATGACCCCACAAAACTGCAATTCTTTCCCCATTTAACCGACTCTCTATCTCCAGTAGTTTCCGAGATACTCATAGAGAACATCGTAGGAAACTCATCCTGTATAGTATTTAGAAACTAACTATTATTTTTATTTGACTAGATTAATTTGATTAACAAGACTCGATTAATTTGATTAACAAGACTCGATTAATTTAATTTAAAATAAATTTGATCAGATTTTTTTTTCGTATATTCTACTACCAGAAAACCAAAATTATATGATAACGCACTTTTCAACGAAGTTGAAGGAATATATAGCATATCAGCGTATCTATCACAATACTTAATAGAATTACTACAATTAGAAGAAAAACAAAAAGAAAAAAATACCCAAATACCTTTACCTACTACTCATCTACAAAATAAACGAATATAATCCCTTATAAAAACACTACACAACTACTTCTTGTATTTTACACTGAAAAAAATTATAAACTTACTAATTAATCAAACAAAAAGAAAAAATAACCAAATTATCCCTTAACTACAAAATAAATAAACTATAAAAACACTACTAAACTATTTCTGGTATTCTACACTTAACATTATAATTAAACTTAATAAAATTAATATAATTTTACACTACAACCACTACAACTATAAAGAAATAAGAACATTTTTTAAAACTAGAAGAAACAGAACTTCGATACGTGCGACCAGTTTAATAGATCAAGCGGACAAAGAATATAAAATACTTTAAAAATGTGCATTCAGAAAGAAAAAATATCTCGAAAATTATCTAAACAAACATTTTTTTTTTCTTATCAGTGAAAAGCATCGGCCTTGTCGGCCTTGCGGAATTTGTCGGGTATTTACAATGGTCGAATTGTATAATTACCAGCTTTTATAGCATATCTAATAGATAAAAAGTATCTGGTCGATTAGTAACCAATTGGCACGGTCCGAAAATTATCGATTTTTATTTTTTCTGTTTTTATTGGTCGCTTCAAAATTCAGAGTAACAAAAAATATTTTTCTGTAGTAAAAGACTGTGAAATACGCCCCGCCATCTGGTGCCTTACATCCATCAACGCCTTAGGTTGAGCTACTTTAAAAATTCATATACAAGGGTTGTATCGTATTAACGCGGGGCTTAGGCGAAATTTTTGGTCGCCTTCGCATGAAGTCGCGGGGGCTGGGTATGCTTGAAAGTTTATTTCGTCCCGATATTTCATATGATTCATTATACGTAGCATTTAAAATTTTTATATGGAAATTTAAAAGACATTTACAGCAAATTGGAAACATTTTTCGGGCTTGTCCGAGACTATTCAAAATGATATAACCAGTTGTATTTCAGAACACGCCACAGAACTAATAGAATCCGAAATAAAAAGCGCGTTATTTTATTAGGTGCAAGCAGACGATACAACAAATATTACAGAAAAGTCTCAGTGTGTTATTTCAATTCGATATGTTAATAAAAGGGGTGAAGTCAAAAAACTTCTTTGCGATTTTGTTTTATTTTATGAAATATTAGATAACATTGTTATACCTACATTTAGAAGTAAGGTTTGCAGATATGTCTCAGTTATTTTTATTTATCTATTGCTGATTCACAGAAATTTGAAGAATCCTATAAAAAATTTCCAAGGAATTTAATATCTGAGTAAACAAACAACAAACTTTTACCGCAATGTTTTTGACCAACATAAATTAATGAATAAATTGCAGGTATTAATAATAGATATGATAATTTCGATTATAAAATAATTTAAGGCAAATAATACTGGAAATATATTTCCAGAGACTTTCCAATTGTTTGTTTTGATTGTTACTACACCATTTACAAGTACTTGGGTTGAGAGACATTTTTCATGTTTGAAATGCATTAAAATTTACAGTAGAAATTCCATGAAAAATAAACGTTTATCGTCACTTGCCTTAAGCGCAAAACATAGTGGAGCCGAGCAAGCATCGAGGAGAGAGGCGAGCAAGCAGCGCGACGTCGCGTCCAAAACAAACCTGTGAAGACAAGTACGCGTGAACATAGTAAAGCGATCTGCTCGCCGCTCTACTATGTATTAGCACCTCGAGGCTCGATATCGCGCTGCTAGCTCGCCGCTCTCCTCGTCGCGCCACTATATTTTCAGCCTTACTTTCAATCTAAAAAGATCTTTTCACAGCCCTTCAACAATTTGATGATTTTACTGATATAATAATAAATAACTTTTCTTTATTAAGAGACCGACTCATCAATTAATATATAAAACATAATTATTCTTTCCTTTTTTTATTAGTCTTGAAATGTATATATGTATATGAATAACAGAATTTGTTTTTCTTTGTAAATTTAATTGTCTATATACTTACCAATTTTTAAGTTTGCATAAATAAATACAAATCCTATTAAATGTTACTATTACCTACATCATGCCGCTGGATAAAAGTATTTTTTGCATACGGTAACATAGCCCCGCGGCGGTCATTTAGCCAGTGCGTTAAACAAAACTCTATTTTATGCAAATAAGTTATTATATTTCATTTAGGTTGGCCATTCGCTGCTCTCCTTGGTGTACCCATAGTTTTTGATATGGTAATTCGAAAGAAGTACTATTTGGATTTTGTCCAATGGACAGTATTAGCTGGATTGGCGGTCAGCGTACCAATGATTTTAATTGATTCGTTACTTTATGGCAGATTGGTTATTGCCCCTTTGAATTTAATAAAATACAATATTTTAGGAGGGCTTGGTCCGGAATTATATGGAACGGAGCCTTTTTCGTTTTATGTTATAAATGGATTTTTAAATTTCAATATTGTTTGGGTAAGTTACGTATGTTTTAAGAACTAATAGTCTGCCCAACAAGGGAATATATGACAGTGATAGGTAACAGGTATTGTCCGCCATTTTAAAGCCCCGTTCTCAGAACTTCGTATTGTCGAGCGACACGTCAAAAGAACCAATGAGATTTGCACAAAATTCAAAGTTGACAGCTGTTTGAATTTTGTACAAATCTCATTGGTTTATTTGATGTGTCGGTTTGTATTGCTCCAGTGGCTGCTCGTGAGTATATATAAGAAGGTGAGGCTAAATGAGGTTAATAATTTTTTTTAAGTACGAATACATTTTCTCACCTATGAAGTATTATTCTGCGACGCGTTTTTTTTAATGGTACTAAACCTATTAGGTGTGGTACGCAAAAATACTTGAAAAGTTTTTAAATACCTATGTTGTCTACCTTGCCTTCGTTACATCGTTAAATATTGCGATAAATTTTGACCCCTTAATATTTATTTACGCCTTTTTTCAGTTTCATTGTCTTAGAAAAGTAGTTTTAAGTATAGAAAGAATAACGTTATAAATAGGATTCATTTTAAAGAAAACACTAAAATTCAACTCATCTTCGGTACTTTAAAATAAATAAAATAACGCCTAACCTTCAAATTTCAACAATATTTGTTGCGTTGAATTTTAAAAACTGCTAGAATTCCACCTTACCTGTGTGTAATAATCGAGTTAAAAGTACTGTATAATAGCCATCAAATAATTTAAATTTATAAACACAAACAATCAAAATAATTCTCGCCCTAAATATCTAAATAAAAACAGAAATATACGCTCATTAATTCACCCACGATGTTCTCACCACAACCGGCCAGCCACCGGCACTTCCTGAGTCATGCATACGAGATCGAGACTTTGTCGCATTTTTCAATAATCAGATGATTTAAACTACCAATGAAAACACACCCAAGCGCCAAATATCGCGCCTCAACCACGCCTCAACCTTGCGATCGAGAATCACGCCTCACCGAATCACATGTCACGCGATCTTAAATCGTCGCTGCTAATAGGTAGGCAATTCGAACTTTCCAAGCTAGAATTGTTTCGCCTCTGTGTGCATCTGTACGCGACTTATGCTGTGCCTGGACCTAGATGTATTTATAAAATATATTTTTTTTAGTTTTATTATGTTGAATGTGTAGAATTGTAATAAGTTTTACTAGGAATAAATAAAAAACTAGATACAAAAACATAAATCGTTCCTTCATTTTAAAGGTGAGGCGGGGCCTCAGAGGCCTACCCTGACAAGCCGCCACTGGGTTGCTCCCTCTACAAAGTTCTGAGAACGGGGCTTAATTCAAAGATTTCTGTCAAAATCGTTCCTTCTCTTGCTGGGCGGACTTAGTAAGTGGGAACTCTTACTTCAATTAATATAAAAAAATACATTTAGGAGAAGACTCAACATTTGAGACAGTTGTAATGACGCCAAAGGTAATCTAACTAAAATATTTTTAAGATGGCGATACTTCCTGTTATATCGTAACTAGTTGCCAGTTTAACGTTATTTTAAATGTAACACGCTTTATGCAGTGTTGCATATAAAATCCCCATCAAATATAATTATTTATTGCTTCAGGTGAAATTTGATTTTGAAATGAAATTCTATATGATTGAAAACGCTAATGATTCTATGAATTTAACGACTAATTTGGCGGTTGTTATTGATTAAAAATTACTAAAAAATGTGTGTTAAGTACCTGAAATTTTGTCTAGTAATGTAAATTTAAAAATAGAAAACTTTTTCTTTCCCTTTTGCCAACACAAGTTGATTAAAATCAGTTCATCCAACACAAAGATATCAACAATTAAATGTAAACATGTTTAACCTCGCTCACTACTTTATTTTTTATCATAGACAAAAATAGTCTAGAGTCTAGAGCAAAAGAGTGTGTAATTGGTTGAAGAATACATTAGTGCTTAGATTTTCGCCATACTTCAATTAGCCAAATTTATGAGAAAATTAGTATTTTCTAATGTGTTGCTGTTGCGCCCCCTGGTGGCCAATTTTTGAACTTGAAAACTGTAAATTATTAATTATTACAGTCATTTATCTAGGCTGATTTACTTTTTTTCTCTTAAGCTCTATCATTAACAGTCCCCAAGTAACAACCGACATCCTCTATTGTTGGACAACTCTACATATATTTTCTATATTGTTTGATACTTAAGTTTAACTATTTTTAAAATGTTTTCCGTTTTATGTCAGAAATTACTTTACCGAGTGGATTAAAATGTTTCACATAGACACATTTTTTTAACTAAAATTTTAACTCTATATATTTTTTCTATTGCAGGTATTGGCTTTATTCTGTCCTATTATTTTGCTTCTAAATCATTTGTTTGTGCCATCCAAGAATAAAAGTACTCTAAACCTACCCTACTGGTTATCTTTAAGTCCTATGTTCTTATGGTTGGCAGTTTTTATGTTCCAAAAGCACAAGGAAGAAAGGTTTCTGTTTCCAATTTATCCAATGATTTGCTTAGCTGGCGCAATTTCACTGGATATTGTTCAAAAGTTGTTATTTAGATGTTGGAGCTTATTTCACAAATATGCTAATAAAAGTACGTCGTTGCGCAATGTGCATTATTTGGATAAAACGACCTTTGTAACCATAATAGCTGTTGGTCTGTCATTTATCTTAGGTAAGTATACAGGTTACACACGCTTGAATTTGAATTCTAGGTATTTTTTCTACAATGTTAGCATTCTATTTTGTCCCATTTTAACAAGCTATACGTTTTTTTATTGTTAAGAGATAGAACATTTATTTAAAAAAAAACTGATAGAGTTTTTAGGCAATTTTTATTACGATTATTACCAAAAATTAGTTTAGTTACACCCCGTATGTTAGAAGTGTAATTTTTTAATATTATAATATTTAAAAATGTCATAAATTTTCAAAGAGTACAGATACTAATATTGTCGATATAATTCGCTTATTTCATTAAAAAATAAAACGGTTTAAATATTAATTTGTTAAAGAGGACCAATTAATATGATCCCAGTATTCAAACTACATTTATTGACTGTTTGCTTTAATTAATAATAATTGATCCAAATACTAAAAAACTGAATTTTATATGTGTATTAAACGTGATAAAAAGTAACACCTTATAAATTTTAGTTAATTTTTTGACGAATGCTTATTTATAACAACAGAGACGTTCATTTTTATAACTTATTATTCTATTGATTTCTGATTCGAAACCACATTTATTTAGAATAATTTATTAACTAAAACAATTAAGTATGTAGTTAACTAATTTTTGGACCGAAATAATGGTGGTATATTTAATTAATATACTCATTTACAAAAATTTAAATAGTTTTATTTTTCTAATTAGCTGGCCTTCGCAATATTATCGTTTTTAGCACCTGCACATTTTGTACATTTGTTGCTTTAAAACATCTAAAATATCAATATTCCATTTAAAAAATACAACTATAACATTTTTTTATTTATTTGGGACACTGTATTTTGTAAAAATATTTTTAAATTGTAGCTCTACTAGTCCTTCAACGAACCCAAAACTTACAATTTATAAAAATCTAATCGTTTAGCTACAATACTCCGTCTCGTATGTGGTGAAACTGGTGAATCACCCTCTTTATGAAAATAAGTGTAGAGTATATAGCCGTGTATTTCAGGAAGTAAGAGGGCTAGGATAAATATCTGCGTAGCATCTTTAGTTTTATAAAAATCTAGCACAGTGATGTGAAAACGGTATCTTTGTCTTATAACGAGAAATCCCAGAAAACATACGAAAATTGGACATACTGTACACCAATTTTGGCTTAAATATTGCCATAGATTCGGGTACCCTCAAAAATAATAAACTGTAACAAATATAAATAAAATTAATATAAAATAACTAATAAAACCCTGTATGTATATCTAAAACAAACATTTTTTGACTCTATGTTGATACGAAATTTTCTTATTAAAATAAGCGTTTCTATGAACGCAGACACGGCAAAAAGCTATGTGAAAACATATAGCTTTTTGCCGTGACAAGTAGTCTAGACAAGTAGCAGTTAAGCTTGACAAAACACGTTTATCCACACATTGTTTTTCTTATTACATTTGTAGGACAAATTTTAAATATTATAATTTGTTTCCATTCGACTAGAGTAGTGCAAGCGTTTCCGAAAAATTATGTAGTTCGCACTTTTCGTGAAGCGCTAAAGAGTGTCATTTACACCCCGCACAGCCATTTGAATTTTTTTTTCTGCTATCAATAATATATGAAAAAAAAATGTAATAAACTAAGAAATTCATAATTTAGAATATCTGTCTTCTTAAAACTAAAAAAATCATTTTTTGACATTACAGGACTGGTCTAGAAATCAGTGCGACTCCTCGCAAATAAAGGGCTATTTCAAAAAAAGGGCAGATTTGGGAAAGCTAATTTTTTTATACCTGCATCAACATGCATTAGGGATTTTAATTTTAAGAAATTAAAAGCGGAACTCCGTGGAACTCATTACTATAACTCATTATGAAAACAAAATAAAAAAAAAACTAGCGTGTATTGGCGACTTCGTTCGCGTCGAATTAATTATTTGTAATGGTGATGATAAAGCAAAGCAAGTAAAAAATCTTAAAATATGTAAAACAACAAAATAAAATATACGTGTTTAAGAGTTTTTCCGAAAAACTTACCGGTTTTAAATAAAAAATATTCTAATATTTGAGGGGTGGTTTCACCACGTTAGAATTCGAGTTTCGAAAAAACCCTTCTTATCGAACCTCTACACCTTAAAGTCAATCCGTTTTCCACAAATCAGCTTTTTACGTCAAGCGCTTTAAACAGGATCGTGATTAATCAATGACCAGATTTCTCGAAACACCCTGTATACATTTTTAAAAGATCTTAAAATCTTAAGATATGCAAAAAAACCAAATAAAATATACGTGTTTAAACGTTTTTTCAGAAACTTGATCGTTTTTTAAATAAAAAAATATTGTAATATTTGAGGGGTGGTTTCACCCCCTTGGAACTAGAATTTCGAAAAATCCCTTCTTATCTAACCTCTACACCTTAGAATCAACCTGTATGCCAAAATTGAGCTTCTAACGTTGAGTGGTTTGAGCAGGATCGTGATTAATCAGTGAGTCAGTCACTTAAGGATTTTATATATATTAGTATAGATAAACTCAAAATAGGGGTGTGTTTAAAATATATTTTATCTACATTCAAACATGTCTGTAGCTATATTGTACATAATGATAATTAATTTTCAAGGTTGTGCTGGGTATAAACGACACTCTTTTGCGCTCCACGTTTATGCAAGGCTAACGCTCTCTCCAGAAAGTGTGGACTCCAGCAATCCCCGGTAGCGCTTGCGCCTTTATAGTTGGTTGGAAAAAATTATAACATTTAAAATTAGGTCCACAGATTTTATAAGAACGATAGTGAGTGGATGAACCTACAAAAAAAAAATATCTGTAATTTCGATTTTTGACAAGCTAAACATAGCATTTTGCCGGGTGCGCGACGGCTAAAGTTCTGCTGCTAAAAAGTAGACTATCCTGTATTAAACTAATTGCATATCTTTTTAGGGATTTCAAGGATAATAGCTCTGTATAGAAATTATCACGCCCCGTTAGACCTGATGATGGAGTTAAATCGTTATCCCTCCGAAATTAAAATTTCAGATCGCTCCCAAATCCACGTTTGTTTCGGAAAAGAATGGCACAGGTATCCCAGTTCGTTTTTCCTTCCAAATACAAACTGGAACGTTCACTTTATCAAGTCCGAATTTGACGGCATGCTGCCAGCTCCATATGCAAGTCAACATAACGCTACGCAAATCGTGCACCCCCACTTTAACGACCAAAACAAGGAGGAGCCAAGTTTGTATTACAACGTGAATCATTGTCATTTCTTACTCGATTTAGATTTGAACAAAGAAACCGAGTTGGAACCCATCTATTCTAAGAGGACGGATAGATGGAAAGTAGTTACCAGTTACAGGTTTCTAAACGCCGAAATGTCTAACCAATTCGCCAGAGCGTTCTATGTGCCATTTTTAACTGATAAGTATGTGACGTTTGGTAACTTCTCGTTACTGCAGTCTACCAAATTTAGAATAAAGTAGTGAATCTACTGTTAGCATAAATTGTGCCTATTTTTACAAAACAGGAACATGTTAAGGTGGGTTTTTGTGTGTACGAATTTCGCAAAATCTCCACGAACTTCGTTAGAAGTTTTAAGGGGTATTCGAATGTCGGACAAGAATTTTTCTTTATATACGGAGCAATCAACAATGATTGAACTAGTTGGCTATTCTGATTTTGTTCGTTTGATTGGCATTAAAATTAAGAAATTCGGATATTTATCGACTGTTATCACTAAGGTCAAAAGAAACCAAAAATTAAGTTATGTGATTATTTTTTAACGATATTTAAAATCATTGCCCATAATGTCAGACTAATCAAAACGAAATGAGAATGAAATTATCATACACTATACACTATGTCCTCGGATTGTCTTTACAAGAGGAAAAACTTTTTTATTATTGACATTTTGGGAAAAGTCCATTCTTCATAAAAAAATTTGCTTGTTCTAAAATGGTTAATCCCGTTTAAGGAATGCAATCCCGCACCAAAATCTCAATCCCTCAAACTTGCGGGATTAAAACAATCAATCCCGTGGATCCGCAAAATTGCGGGACTGTAAACAATAATCCCAAACTAAATTTGAGCCTTTATTCTCTTTGTAAACTACACTGGCACTCATTTTAGTGATTAACTGGTTTACATTCCACGTAATACTATACGTAATACGACGTAATAATAGTGTACAAATTTGGTCAAGAATCGTTTTTACCGAAAATTAACAATTTTTGAAAAATCGAAATTTTAACTATGTACAATTAATCTGTATTGAAATTAGAAAAAACAATTTGGTGGGTTTTTTAATTTTTTTTTAAGGAAAATACGAGGTTTTTTCGAAAAATATGCATTTTATAGTCATACATTTGGTCCTAAATGATACAAAAGGCATGGTACATTTTGCATAGGCCCACAATATATTGATATAGCGTGTATCTTAAACTAGCTGTACAGAAATTTGGACCGAAGTATACAGGTTGTTCAAAAAATATATTTAATATTAAATAAACTTAAATGAAATTAAATTATAATTTATCTACTTATTTTATAAATAAAAATATTATTCTGATGTTGAAGTTTTTTTAATTTGTGTTAGTTATCTGCTTTTAGATTCACTCTATATCAATAATTTTTTGGCATATGCAGAATGTACAAAGCTTTTTGTACCATTTAGGACCATACGTATTACTAAAAATGCATATTTTTTGAAAAAACGTCGTAATTTCCTTAAAACAAAAAAAAAATAAAAAACCGATCAAATAGTTTTTTCTAATTTCAATACAGATTAGTCGTACTTGGTAAAAATTTCGATTTTTTAAAAATTGTAAATTTGCTGTAAAAAAGATTCTTAACCAAATTTTCACACTCTTATAAAACACCATGTATACGAGAATTCGCTAAATATATTTTTGAAAACTACATAGCATCTTAATCACAATAGATGCATCTAAAACCTGGTCCAAACCGCATCCCAAAACCTTTTTTATTAGAGATATTCAACTTTAAATTTACCCTAAAATTTTGCTTGTCCGGATAATTATGTCCGGCAGTTTATTTGACGAAATTGTCCACACGTACTAGTTAAACGCTTTTCTTCACTTACGCACATACGCCTAAAAGAAATCTAACAACTAACCTGTTTGTTTCACTTATTTTTAATGGCCAAGCCGTAAGGGGAATCCCCTGAGTTCCGAGCTTCGACGCATCGGCTCGGATTCGGTTACCCAATAGGAATGTGTCGGTCCCGCAAATCCCGCACGGTAAATCCCGCAAGTTTGATCCCGCGGAATTTCAGACGGATCCCGCATTTGCGGGATTGCATTCCCTAATCCCGTTTATACTTTTCCAAATTTCCATACCGTTTTAGAGAGAAAAGTAAAAAAAAAAAACATGAAAATGTAGTGGAATTTTTTCTATATTAAAAGGAGTTCCTATGGTAATATAATTTCTCTCTTCAATTTGTTTTAGCATCAGTACCAATCGCTGATCCTAAAATCCTCTAATACAGTATTGCCAACTATTTCAGTCATTGTTGATCCCTCCGTATTTGGATTCATTAAAAAGTTTTGAAAGTTTTTTTTTACTTCATAGATAATTTGCGAAATTTTTATACATGAAAACGAGGCTTTGAAATTATAAAGAGAAGTGGCATCTAAAGTTTGACAACATATGTAGGTACTTAAAAAACTATCTGTTATATGTATGTACTGAACTAGATGTTCTATTATTAATCAGTGTTATAGAATGCGACTGTTACCGATTGTGAAAAGAGAAGTTTTCTTCACTACCAATAATTCGTAGTGATTATTTGTGACTTTTGTGTACCTGGTTATGGAAGAAAACGGTTAATAAAAAATAATTTAAATTTAATAATTATAAAAACCTCACTACAAAATAGAAAGTTCAGGCTATCTACCGGGTGCGTCTCAAAAGTGGCTCACCCTTATAACTTATTTATTTTTTCATTATGACCTAAATTAGGATTGATTGACGTATTCAATTATTTTTGGTCATTTCCTGTTTCACCGGAAATGACTACAAAAATCTCGTTTATCTGAAAAAATAAAAAAAAGTTATAGGGTTGAACCACTTTTGAGACGCACCCGGTATATTAAATGGGTTATTTAGGGTAACAAAAGGGAATGTATGTTAATGGATGTTAAGCTGCTAAAAATATGTATGTCGGCTATGGTGAGCCAGAAAAACTAACCTATGGAATTTATGGGTTAAAATGAACCTAATAGCCGAGAAAAAAATATCTCCGGAAGGCAGGATTTTTAGCTCAATTATGATGCAAGTACACACTCGCCGAGACGAGGCGAGTGTGTACTTGGGGCTCTCGCCTGCTCTCGGGCCCTCTCGCCTCGCAATCTGAACGTTTTGTACCAAGTGCACACTCGCCGAGGGGACCCGAGGCGAGACAAGGCGAGTGTGTACTTGGGGCTCTCGTCTTGCCTCTGTGCCTCTCGCCTCGTCTTGGGTGCGCTCGGTCTAGAGGCGGTCTCCAGCACGAGTCGAAGGAGACGAGAGCTACAGAGATACTAAGAGAGACACAATAGATTCTATATTTCTCTATGGCGAAAGCGTTAAGTAGGAGGTCCCGCGAAAATATACACGGTGCTCTCGGGAGATCTCGGCATTACTTAGTTCGTCTTCTCAACTGCCTTTGAGTTGGCGCCTATTTTCGGTATTTAAATTATTTAATACAGTGGATAAACGATTTTAGTGAAAGTACCGAAAAATCTGTAAGAGAACTCTAGAAAAAAAAAAGATTCTTTAATGGTCACTTTCCGGGCCGTCTAAGAAAGAAAACCACGTCTATTAAAAACTATGCACTAGGTTTTCATTCAGTTTGATGGCAAGTCTTCAAATTCAAATATATGAGTTTATGAGTGCCAACTTAATATAAACAATCATTAGTTTCTATAAGTATCTACGTTTATTTTGATAATTGAGAAGCGATCAAACAAAACGAAATAAATCCATTTTAAGATATTAGCAAAAAACGTGTCGTTATTGCGTCTTTTAAACAAAGAAAATTATAATGTACGTGACAGATATTATGATACAGACTTTCTAGACACTGTTTTCGCTTTTTTGTCATCATTAACATAAGAATTATTACTATAATTACAAAATTATTGATTAATCTCTTTTATCCTCAGTTAAAAATAAAGATTTATTTTTTATAATGTAAAATGGTTTGTTTTAATATTATTAGGTAAAATAGCAAATATTTTACGTTTTTATGCAGCATTATGTTTTTTTTTAATTTTAATACACCTCACCTCGGCAACATAAAGTCGAAAATACAGTTCGTGTTTCCATCCTTGGCAGTTACGTCCTCATTTTCGATATTATATTGGTTTTCATGATTTTTTTCATGACAAACACGGTCAATAGAATTATAACATGTGACGTAACAGCCAAGGATCAAAAACAAAGCGTAGATGATTATGGTTCTATAAAATACCAAAAATACAATGAAAACAAAAATAATCACAGGCGGATTTATCTTTTTCTGTTTGAAACTAATATATGCAATTTGATTTTGTGGATTTCAGTGTTTTTTTTTATTTGCTCGACTTTCAGGTTGATTTTAAATGGGATTTAAGAAAAAAATTTGCCCAAATTTTCCTAAAAGTGTTATTAAATTTACCTCGTCGAGCGCCTGGTTGTTTTTATTTTTACAAAATTATTCTTCAGAATATATTTATTTATGTACTGCAAAATTCTATTGGTGTGTTTTTGCGCTATGTCTCGAGGCGCCTCGCTGGACCTCGCATTTTTTGTGGCGCCTCGGGTCCCCTCGGCGAGTGTACTTCCAGCATAAAAGGTGTCGGTGAACATTCAAAGTTTTCCATTTAAATAACACGTAAAAAAAATTACATAGCGGATTCTTGTAGAGCACAAAATTTCCTAAAAAATCTATCTGAGAGTAATTTAGTTTTTTTGCTAAATACGAAAATTTTTAATCAATAAACACTAAAAACTGCATATTTTGATTTTTTTCACTTTTCAAAGCTTTCAAATATACGAATTATTGATTCATTTGAATATTGAATTATTGAATAGATTTTTTAGGAAATTTTATGCTCTACAATAATCCGCAATGTATTTTTTTTATCGTAAACCCTTTCAAAGTTATGGTACTTTTAATGGAAAAATATTTTTTATGTGTTATTTAAATGGAAAACTTAGAATGTTCACCGACCCCTTTAAAAGTTGAGCTAAAAATCCTGCCTTTGCACAGTGGTTCCCAGATAGGTCATTACTTAGAAATATTAATTTCAAAATGTTTGAATGAAACTGTTGCTAATACTTTTCTTATATTCCCCTATAAACGATACATAATAAATAACAAAATCAAGTAAGCCTAGTGTAGCGCTTTTTTTAATAGAAATGTCACATTTTTGCTACTGGTATCAAGCTGACATAAACAGTTTTCAGATAACGCCAATTAATGAGGAAAATGCATGTTTTTAAATAATGGTTTTAAAAAATAGTTCATATAATTACAAATTGAACAAAAAGAATCGTTGATATCGGTAAAGAAATGCCTCTAATATAAAATAATTAAATATTGTTAATTTAATTGGCCGGGCAAACGCTCTCTACCGCGCCTTGCCGCTGTGACGTCACCCGCCGTTCTTCTGGTTGAGTGGAGCCAGACGCGTGTTTATTTTACACAGTTTGCTTTTAAACGCTGTTGAATCCGTGTCAAAATTTTAGTTATTTGTGTTAATTAATACATAATTAGAGTAATTAGTGATATTTATAAATAGTAATGGATGAGCGAAAACAGAAAAAAATGCTCCAAGGCCATGAGAAGAGATGAAAAGAAAAACGTTAAATTATCCTCTATTTTTACGATTTATTGTTGTGAATATCATTTTGATGTAAGTTCATATATTTATGTATATTGTCTTACATAGGTATATGAAATTTGAATGTACAGCGTTATTCATTATATTTTGACACCCACAGCCTTAACTGCAAGTTTTAGAAGAAAACATTAAATAAAAAAGTTGCATGGTTTTACATATACTCTCTTTTAAAATTAATTCTAGTTATACAGGGTGCCTCAAAAAAGGTGGTCCAGAAAATTGTAGGTATTTTTCGCTTCTCAACTGTCAATATTTCGTAAACATTTGAAGATAGGTATAGGATATTATACATGAAATATATCTAGAATATCTAGAAATTTCCGAAGAATCCATAAATATATAGGGTGTTTCACTTAAAAAAGT